AAAATGTGAAAGCATGTTAAAAGAGCATGGGTACTGCAACTATGCGAATGCATGTTACGCTTGTACAAATTTCAGAAGTCTTCAAGTTGCGAATGTGAACACTTCCAGGAAATCGAAAATAGAGTTTGTATTTTACAAATAAATAACGTACACGCTGTGCCTGCAAATTGAATGAGCTGTCATGCATGTCAAATGTCAAGTTAAGCACTAATAACAATGAAGTAGTTAGTGCACGTGCTCCAACTGTTTTGTCAGTACTCTGTAATTTATTATTCTCCAGTGTGTGCAACTGTTTACTGCATTTTGTATTGTGCACATTTTTAGGGACCCTCAGTTCCCGCCAACAGCACAGTCAAATTATAAGATGTCCTTGGCACCTTGCAATTTATGCATGAAAAATTTATCGACCGTTTTACCCAGCCGCATCCTATCATATTGATATCGCTGCATGTGACTGCACATGTAGAACCCATGCCCCAAGCGTACATGTGTAGGTGTCGAAACGAAAATGTCACTGAACTGCTGAACAAACCGACACCGGTCCAAAAAAAAAAAAAACCAAGTCCATTTGGTTGTGCGCAGAGAGGAAACAACATCTTGACGGAGGTAGTTGGCATTCACAAAACGGCAGCATCTGCAAGGCAATTAGCCAATAGATCATTCTCTGTCACGTCGCCACGCCTTGTCTTCCCATGGGAGGCCTTTTGCCAAATTAAGAGCGTGTTTTTAAACAAACTCACTTGAAAATTACACGGTGAGACTTTTTACAAGCCAAATTTGCAGTTTAGAGGCGTGCAACTTTTCCTCGGATCCGCTGATTTCCTCGTTTTTTTTACTTCTCGTGAATGCCATTAGAAATTGAAAAATACTGAACGTTTTACAAAGTCTTGTTTGAAGTTTCCTTGTTTTTCCTTAATTCCCAGCTGCATGCCTGAGTTTACTGTCGCGTACCGGTATGCTGTACACATTATGTACATGTTCAATGTATACTTTCTGACAGAACATATCAAGAGAATTTGCTTTTGTTTTTTCATTTAGCTGGAACATATGTAGGGTAACATAAAATCTTATCAGATAAAAAATACTGCAAATACATGATAAACATGTAACTCAATTATATCGATCTGGACCCGCAACATGTAGGATAAAATTAATATTGTTGGGTTGAGGTGGTGTAGTACTCCTTCTTTATTGCATCAGAAATTGAATGCCACTAGTTCTTAACTCGCAATTATTTCAAGAAAAAGTGTAATTTAATTTTTTATTTTTTTTTAAATTACCGGTAGCAGAACTCCTTATTGTGCAAAGTATTTCTAAAGGATGGAAATTCTATACGCGCAGCCAGACAAGATTACTTCCCATTTTGTAGAGATCGGATCCAAAGCCGTTTTCTGTCCATATTAAGAACCAGTCCCAATTTGACATTTATTAAATCGGACAAATTGTTGACATTATATGCGCATTGTATTCGTTACTTATTAGATCCTTTTTAATTCAGAATCTTGGCGATACTAGTACACCAAGTTGGTAACGCTGCGTGTGCGTTCACAGTAATCCGATTACTTCTCCGGGAATCAGAAACATTTACGCTGTACTGTGTGTCTCCATTTTCATAGCAACACTTTAAAAACCTCCGAGTGTGGGTGTGCGTGTGCGTGTGCGGCACTACTAGCGTCACTCTATGCGCCTAGTGCTTTTGCGGCCTCACACACAACCGCAGCAATATACCCAGTACCAATTATGCATACGAGAGAGTCTGGCCGCCCAAATGGATCTTGGGTTGTTTTGCCCATATCACTGGACCCTCGTGCGCACGACAGCAAAGGGGGGGGGGGTCATTGCTGTATATAGTAGCGCAAAATGTCATCTCCTGCAGGCCCGGATATTCATGATATTGAGTTGTGGGTGGGTGGCGGATGGTCAGGGTACCGGGAGAGGTTGTGTTTTCTTTTCCCCGCTAAATCCCGAACATATTGTCGATCTTAAACTGGAAAGGTGGCTTGTATCCAAAAACGTCGATGTGGCGGCATCGTGTTACAACCACTGATTGGTTTGGAAACCCAGGCTTTTTCTAGGGTTGAGGTTCCACATTAAGTATGTGCACGCAGAGGCTCAACCTCGATTGCTTGTAGAGTCAATGTACACAATTCATGACTTCGGTTCTCACATTTTATCCATTAAAGTACGGTAAATTTGGACATTTGGGATGTATGCTTTTGCTCTGTCTGAGTTATAAAATTTACTTTTGCGACACTTGATTACAATGTAGGTGAACATTTTCATAATGACTCTGTGTGGTTTGCTTTTCTAGAGTGGCTTTATTTGCTTTAAGGATGTGAAAAAAAATCTAAATCCGTTTACAAATTTTCCAAAAATGTTGAAATGAAACCCGAATTATAAAAAGGGACCTATGTTCACGTGATCTTCCTTTGAGTTTAACATACAATAGCACAAATAATTAACAACGTTTTCAAACCTATTAAATTTACAAAACCTTAGAAGCACCGCAATGCTTGATTGCATTCAAGACCTGTTAACGTACTGGTACTTAATTTTTTTTCTTTTCAATGAGTGTCCGCTATTTATTATGTTAACCATTGTTGATTTATCATGTCAATCATGCTGATGTGCAGACATAATGGGGACACGTCAGTCAGCCTTTGTGACTAATGGCTAAATGTTTAAACGGTTCTTAAAATATTTTCTAGACGTTTACAAAATTAAACGCAAAGTCACATCCTTATAATTTGTTCAGACTATAGGACAATATATAGACCTGTATATTTTGGAGCAGTTTAAAGGGCAATTCTTATTGACCATGTCACAAAGTTACATGGCAGAACGTAATGATTAAATCAGTGACCATGTGTTTTGTTTGCAAAGTACTTCATTGATTGCGTTCACACTTTCAGTAAGCATTGTAATATAGTGCAGTGCACTGCCAAGCACATCCTCCAAATAAATAAATGCATAAGAGTTCTCGAAGCTGAGTGCAAGAATACTTTGGTATGTACGTAGACATGGTAGATGAAGCGTTGGCCAGCCACAAGGCAAGGAGCTACATTGTACATGTGTACATGCATACATCTGTTTAAGTTAATTGCTCAGCTTTTCAATATAGCCGTGCAGTTTGACAACAAATCTGGGAAAAGAAGGATCCTCATGGCCCTGCCCCAACCAAGGCCGAACCCAGAATACAATTTTGTGGAGGCCCAAATTTTTGTTTGTTCCCGAAAAAGTGGGTCCAAACATTTGTTGTCTCAAATTTAATATGAAAAGCAAGGGGAGGGGGTGCAAATTTATTGCTTTTGTTGAGTTTTGTGGATGGTGTACATACATGCAATGGCTGCCTTTTTTGCGATGATACATGTACTTCAAAAATAAATTGGCTTTGTTTTTTTTGTGGTTTATTTTTTTGGGGGGGGGGGGGGGGTTATGGCCCCTATTGCCCCCCACCCCCTGGATCCGCTGTTGGTTTTTATGTAAATCATTGTTAGAAAACCCATAGCTGCAGATGTTGCAAGAATGTGCCATAGAGCATGTGCTCAAATCAAAAACGTCATTGAGAATTTGATTTTCCGAAAAACACCTGGTACCCTTGTAACCCCACTCAGGGGTACAACATTTCTACAAGGGGGGGGGGGGGGGGATGTCGTTCCCCGTTTTGCGAGGCCCCTCCCCGAGAGTGGTTGTACCATTTGTTTCGTCATGGCAACCTGTCTGTACATCCAGCAGCCTTCCTTCTGCTGCTGGACTGATAAATTGATTGGACACTTTTAGCTGTCTTGCCGGCGTCCCATTGCGCATCAATCAAGTTCATCGCCTAAATGAAGATCTTTGGGTCTTGGTAGTGTTTGTCGTAAGCTCGTAATAAATTTACCCATCAGTAGCAGATAGCGTAAAAAGGTTGTCAATTGCGTAAATGCCACGCATGTGAAAAACGAATACTTGTGAATTCATTGATTGACATTTTTTTTTTTGGGGGGGGGGTTGTTACATGTATGTATTAAAATGTGAGCCCAATTTTATGTATAGGTAAATACATGCTCTGTTTGAATCCTTTGTTCCGGTACCAGGCCTAAAAAAAATACGGTTATGTTGACCCAAAATTGATTTGTGAACCATATTCTGAATTAAACTCAATTCCATTGTAAAAAACAAACAAACAATCAAACCTGTAAGCCTACCGGTACATTAAATGATTAATAGAAAATTCTTTCACTTTACTTAAATCTAAGCGTAACTATAACTTCACTTCTTTATTAACAAAATTATTACAGCGCAAATAGGATAGGGTGCAACTTGATAAAGTGTTGTTGGCGGTTGTAAGGGAGAGGCGCTTCTAGTCTTCTAAAGTATAGCACACGTTGTTTTTCTAGCTCCCCTTCCCCCATTGTAAGTAAACCAACCATCATACAACATACGTGATATGGAGCCTTTAATTAAAACAAGTAACCCCCCCCCCCCCACATGTAAAGTTATTTTTTAATCCAAACCAGGGAAATCCTCGCATACAATAATTCCAACCAGCACTCTTGCCACAGCGCCACTCCATCTCGATTCACATTTGAACCATAGAAACTATTGTTGAAAACATGCTTATTAAATACATGCTTATTTTATTGATATAATTCAATAAAGAAGGCAGTCAACGGAGAGGGCCATCGATAAGCCACAAAGGGTCAATACTGACCCATCATTGACCTCACCTATTGACCTTACAACCCAGATACAACAATAAATTCTTCTTTTCTTTTGGGTATTAATACCTGAACTCCTACACTGAGAAGTCCTTGGCTCGGCCAGCTTTAGCAGTCATCCAGGGTTGCCTTATTTGCATAAGAATAATATTAGTGAATTGAGCGGCTGGCAATCGGCCAATCCCCTTCTCTTGTCCTCATGAGGTCACCTTGGGCGTGTTTGACGTCATCAATTGGTATAGTGTGTTCTCATTGTACATGTAGATGGTTGATTGCGTGTGCGTGGTTTTCATATCAAGCAGGACCATATTGAGTTGTAGTACCGCAGGTATACACCCAGCAAGCCGGCCGGCAAAATTAACTTACTGCACACGTAAACCATTCAGACGCTGAATGAGTTGGCACGTAGCCAGGCGTAGACATTAGTCAGAGACAATTTGAGACAACTTGTCTGCAGATTAAAACCGTACAACATTCACCTTTGGCTCATTACTCTAATTAGTGATACTCCAGTCAGTAATATTCACAAATTAAAAATGGAACATCATCCGGACCTTCCGCTGGTGGTAAGTCAGTCCAGTTTTCAGTAGCACGAACAGTCAAGCTTGACGTTGTACAATACAGTCCATACATTTTTACGGTGGACGTGACATTTTCACAAATGTGTGTCCCGTGTAGATGGAATGGGTAGTGTAGTGTCGTTATTAAGAATGGTCCACTAGTGATGTATTCATGCTCTGTAAACGGTGACAAATTGTGCCGAAGTGACCGACAATAATCAGGTTTCACAGTGGGTGACCAGGGCGTTGGCCTGGGCCTACATGTGGATTTTATGTTTGGAAATTACACGTACATGAGTTGTGCCTGAGCATGGTCAATGTACTGTTATTCAGGGTGAATTTTGTACTTGTATTTTGGTTGAGGAGAAAGTGTTCCTTAAATTTGAGTATGGAATTTATAAACTGAAAGAACTGAAATTCTTTGACCATCATGTGATGCAATACAATGTGGTGTAATAATATGAAGTACATGTGTGTGTTACTTTGGTACTACATGTATACAATTGTCTATGTAGTGCATTGAATAAAAATAAAAAGACAACACTTGGCCATATTGTAAATTATGTTTAGAGATGGGCATTAACTTTTACGTGCAATTTCACATCATACGGTAAGTGGAAAAAAACTTTGACACGTTATAAATGTATTTGAATTCCAAATAGCACATTGATATACAGAGTTGCGCTGAGAAATAAGCAAAGTTTTGATGTGTGAGTAGATCGAATGCCAAAGTTTGGGCTCTGTCGCCATGGCAACTGGTTATAGTTTGTGCTGTGTTGCCGCGGCAACTGGTTTCTGTTTCAATGGGCATGTAATGTGTCCATGTTTCTTTTGTCGGATTAACTCAAGAATGTAGATCTATGTGCATTTTTTTTTCATTTTGCTTGAAAATTTTCTGAATCTCCAAAAACGACACATTTAAACAAACGTTGCTTCCAACTGGTACATGCAAGTCCCATTTCCTATAAATTTAATTAAAAGTAGTGAGAAAGCTACCTGAATAGTCAATACATATAAGGCCAAATAAAAAAAACATGTTTAGCGTTCCCGCCCACTTCCTTTTTGGAGGCCCCCTCCTTTTCTTTTTTTTTTTTTTTTTTAAACCCCCAAAATGATAAATTTTAAACAGTGACATAATTTTGGCCTCTATTTGTTGCATGTAGCCCATATAAAGCTGGTATGTCATTTCCTGAGTCCAAGTGGCGGCCAAAAAAAAAAAAAAGCTGGGTCGTGCGGCCATTTTGGAAGGAAAAAAGAAAGAAAAAAGGGCCTCCTCCTTCCTTTTTTTTTTCAAAAAGGCAGGACGCTAAAGATGGGTTTTTTTTTACTTGGCCTAAATGTGCTATTTTTTTATGCCTTAAGTTTTTATGCACTTTGGTTCACACGTTGTTAGAAAGATACGTGAAGTAGACTGTGTTTAAAAGATCTCATCTTAATTTTTACAGAGACTGAAAGAAGAAACTATTATACTCATATTACCGTGTATCATTTGTAACACACAAATGTACATACATGTATGTACGGTACCTGTGCCCATATGTACCTGTATACATGCTACCCCAATGCACAGCCGTAGCATGTGCAAAGAAACAATTTGCACAGCGCTATCTTTTCTCACCAGATACAATTGTTTCTCACATCAATTTAGAGTTTGCAGTGCACTCATACAGTGCGCATAATCAACTCCAGATATCCGTACCCTGGATCTGTGTGTACATTTTACAACAGAGTTATCCAATTAATCGTGGGATAGCCGGGGCCTCCTGCAATGACCGCGGAGTGCCGCGGTGTTGGTCAACGAACTCCGGCCCTTAATCCAGGCTCTGGAAAAATTAAATCTCTCCCGCAGTGTTTCAGTCAATTGTTGTACAACTGCCAACGATACAAGTACATGTACATGTGTATGTACATTCAAAATGTCAATGGAGAGGTTCAATACTTCGATAGTTTGCTGAAGATATCAAGGATGTACATGTTCGGTACATGTATAATGGCTAATGCATTCTTAAAAGCTTTTATAGATTTCCAAAGGCTTTGTGATATGTTTGCTTACGTGTACTTACAGTTTGCGTACATTTACATAAGTTTGGGATAAAAGTAGTCTTAATTTGATGCACTTGTACATGTACATCATACATTTATGTACACGTAATTGGACCTGTTTTGCACTAGTACAATGTACACCCGTTTTTGTTAAATTTAACGTATAACTGTTTTTGCTCAAATGAAACTACATGTAAGTACCGGGTACCTTAAGAAAATTTCAAGAAATATTTCAAGAAATGTTTATTTTACTTTTGAAATTATTTTTTACAGTAAACAAATGTGGAACAAAGTTTTTTGAGAATTGAATAAACAACCATGCAATATGTGGACATGTAACGAAGACCATTTAATATCACATTCATAATTTATTCAGTTCACTACACTGAAGTTGCATGCTCATGTATGTTTAGTGCAGTCCCTGACATGAGGACATACTGTAGCACCTTAAGGCGTGATACATTAAGTGCTTTTTGACTCACAGATTTTTTTGTCTTCTCTCTGTGTTTTCCCCCTCACAGGAGAGAGTCGTCAAGACGGAGAAGTGGGGAGATTTCAATTGCTTTCTGCAGGTAAGATACGTACCCATAAAGTCGCAATCTTTCACACATCTAGATGCGATTTATATTGCTAGAGGCTGTATTACTGTTCATATCTTGTACACAGACTTTATCGTTAATTTTATAGTTGAAGACATCAATTGTTATGCCGTGCACCTTTTTCAATATAAACCGACGCGGGGCGAACATTAAATTAGGGGAAGAATCGACCGGGAGTGTTCTTTGCACGTGTATGTTTACTAAAGCAATTTGCAAATTTGATGTCGGCGGGATGCATTAAGCTGTAACCGTAGCCAGCTGGGGGTGTTGGCGCAAGGGCATTTCTATCATGTTGAGTAAGAACGTGGTCTCACGTACAGTACTACTGCATGTACGGTATGTGCGCGTATTGTACATGTACACACACATAAATGAACATTTGTGTGGTGTCCATGCATTGCAGTGTACATTAAACATGATGCAATTATAGCCCAAGGATGTGAATTATACAAGTCGGCTTTCAACACAAGATCCAAAATTATTCCATATCCGTGTTCAATATGTGATTTTTTTTTCAAATTTGGAGTATGATTACATGCCCAGCTGGATCCAATTCCATTGCTACGTGTACGTTATGTACATGAAAAATAAAAAAAATATGCGTTTGCATATTTGGCCCATTTCTAGGGTCGGCAAGGAATTCTTTGCTTTTGCACATTCCTGCATGATTCTGTTATTAAAGATTTTGTCCAGAATGTTTCTGGCTGGTTATCTACGGACATAATGATGATCATACGGTGTAAGTGTATAATTTTGTGGTACATGTGGGTGTTTACATAAATGTGGAGGCCAGTGTGTGACATTAGGGTCAAATTTTCAAAATAACCAAATTAAATTCAGCTCCACATGGTTTTGCAGTCTAGGGTCTATATTTTGTCAAAAACAAAACCATTTTTCTGTAACATGACCCTTTTTAGAGTAGCAACATGATAAACTAGCATATGGGACACAAATTTCACCTGTAACAGTGACACCAAATTGTTAATTTCTTTTAGAGCTCTCACCAGGTTATTGTTCAGGTATGGTAAAGACATGTTGCTTTTTAAGCAATTATTTGCAACACATAAGTTAAAAAAAACTTTAACACTATCCTTGTTCAACATTTGTTGAAAATCAAATATCAAGTTTTAGGAAATTTGACATATTATGATGATTACAAAAATGTAGCTCTCACTTGACATAAAATTATATTATTTTAAGACAAACACTCACTTGTTCTCTAAAAGCAAGTTTGACAGCCAAAACTGCAACTATGAAGAGCAATGAAGATTTATCTATCCAAATGGTGTCCTCATAGGGTACATTGTATACATGTGCATATGTACAAGTACATGTACATGTACACTTAAAAAAGGATTAGCCTTAGGACAAGTGTCACAATTGGCAATGTACACAATGTACAGATGTACATCTAGGCAATGTGTATACATAAATTCCGCAAGTCATTTCAATCGCGTGCGGAGGAAGGAAGTGTGAACTGTTGACTTACAAAAATGTATATATATGTATACATCTTCAGTGTTCAGAAGTACCGGTACATGTATGTATATGCCCACATATGTGCAATTGCACTTATGCAAATAAGCTACCGTTCAGCACTGTGTTCATTCAGATGTTTAGAAATTATGAATCTTGGTCTGAAACTGAAAGTGTTGCAACACAAATTGGGCACAGCATGTACACGTGTACATTGTACCTGTAGTTGTGCGTAAAAAATGTATCAGTATGCCAAACCTCGGATATCAGGCTGAACAATTGTACAAGCACGTTTCACCTTGAACCTTACTCTTTGCACCGGCAGTTACAAAAGAACTACACTATGGAACCTCTCCTGTGGTGTTGTGTGGCATAATATCGCTTCCTTTATTGGGCCCTCCCATTGTGTACTGCAAACAAGAGGATATGACCTGATAAGGTCATCGGCTACAGTGTACATGTACATGACACCTGTACGTGGGTGGGTCTTGTGGCTGTATGACCACAGAGCTGGGTCCTAGCTCTATGGCAGGACCATGCATGGTGGTTTTTCACAATCACCACTTTTCGTGCAATGTGTACACAGTACACCTATCATTGTACAGAAACTCCAATTACCAGTCACTGACCCTGTTAGTTGCATTTTGAAATGAAATGGAATCAGAATGTGGCTTCAATTTGTACATTGTTGTGCACTTAAACATGTTATGCAAATTACATGTAAATACGTGTACATAATCATGTACATATGTACATGTACATATGCATACACATGTGAGTCATTCTAAAAAGTTTGGGTCACATTCTTTAATGCTGTCTAGATCTCCAAGAGTGGTTTGAAGCAAAGTACCTGCCAAAAAATTTAAAAAAATTGTTTGAAGTCTATTTTAATGATACTTGAATGGCAAATTACATGTAATGTAGGTCAGATGTAACAGGGACACAAAAATGTCACACTTTTAGATCCCACATTTATCTGCTCCGTTCACACGTACCCCCTCACCGGCAAAGGAAGTACAGTTGGGGGTGACCGACCGACGCCATCTTGCCTGACTGCAATTCATTTGCCGCGAAGCACAGCCACTGCGTGTACAAAAGTACAAATCCCCTGGTGTACGTGCGTCACACACAAGGAACGGTGCGCGTCAACCATGTCGTTGCAAGGTAAAAGTGGCGCATGGAGCTCATGGACTGACAAGTAGAACTGTACATGTTAAAAAAAATATTGAAACTATTAAAAGGGAAAAAATAGCATCTGAATACATACATGTGTAAATTTTGAAGTTAATACATGTGCAGGCACTGGTATGCATGTACATTGTAGGGTACAGTACATGTACTGTCTGTATACAGTAAGTACAGTTTGTATATTACTAATGTGGATTAAGTAGTTTTGAATATTTGTGTTTTGTAACTTGTAAGCAATTAGAAGCCCTGAAAGAGAAACAAATTTCTGCCAACCACAAAATGTTTCGGATTGTTCATAATAATATTGAGCCACTGTCTGACAACAGGAAGGCCAAATTGACAGCTTGATACATTGTACATGAAGATGTACAAGGAAATTATAATTATGTATGGAATTCTATTTTGTACATGTATGAAGGTAAAAAAATACATACGTATATATTGTCTTGCATCGCCATTGGAAAGCCGTTAAAATCATGGCATGAATATTTATATTTGGTCAATGCTTTTTTTTTTTTTTTTATACATTGTAACTTCAAGGCCTGCTAAGTGTATGTTGAATTACCAGCAGAGAATTACTACCGGTAACTCCATACACCATCCTCGATTCAAAAGGCCAAGAAATGAAGGAGAAAATTAATCCTGCGCACAATAGCAAACATCAAAATTAGATTACATGTATTGTCATGGCAACTGCAGAAGGGTAGACAGCCATGTCTAAAAATGGGTTCGTCCTTCAAGACGAAGTGATGGATTTTTTTCTCTCGAAAAATTTGCAATCAAGTTTTAATACATGGGTGTGTATTTATTCATAAATAATTTGTAATTATTTGTATCATAAAGAAGTAACATCACACCAATGGTCATTATTAATTTGCTTGACGCTATTTTATTTTCTTTCTGTGCAGGGAGACATCACAAACACCCATAAAATTCTAGTAGTCACAATGCACGACATTGGCTATAACCGTAAGTACTGACAGTTTAAAGAAATTAATGTGCCTTCAGCTTCTACATCCCCCCACCCCCATCCCTTCATCCCCATCCCCTCCCCCCCCCCCCCAACAAACCCCCTCATATGATTCTGATTAATGGTGCACATAATTGCCGACCTTACTCTCAGTCACACAACTTTAAAGGGGAAGGTCGATCAATTTCCGGCAGCAATTTGTCTTGAGTTCGGGACTGCTGCAGAGAAAAACATAAGCCAGGTTGATTAATTAAAGGTGAAATTGATTCATCTTTAGTGCCCGACTTCATTTTCTTTATGAAAAGCAGTCCAGTATCGTGTACGTGTAGTTTGAAGAAAATTCTTGTGTGATATTTCCAACCACCCCTTTAAGGTTATTGGCAACACAGGTTCAAATTGATTTCAAATTAACCGCACCACTTGACCCGAGTATCTGCATGTAAAAAGACAGCACTTGAAATAATGAATAACTTAACATGCACCGTGTACCTGTGTATCTGCACAGATTGTAAACGTGCCTCGCTGCTAAATGCTAAATTGTTTCATGCAGTCAGGCCATATTTAAATCGCAATCAATTCTGTCTTTCAGTTTTTCTGTTCTCCATCAGCAAAGTTATGAGTAAAGAGTAGCATTATTAATAAGCTTGAGGTTTTTTTTTAAAAAATTCCTGGGTATTACTATTTTCCCTTTGGGGGTGAGGATTACACCCCACCCCCTAACTCCAGCTTTGATAAACAATTGAGTTGTTTTAAACTTCGGTTTTGACATTTGTTTGCTTTGTCTTCATCCCTGGCTTCAAAATCATTTCGAGGCCTGTAAATGTGTCCAAAACAGAATGGAGATATTCGAAACTTGGCCTAAAATTAAACGTACAGGATTTGATGTTCCTGAATCAGAAATATGGATGAAACCAGAGTCGACAAACTTGTGGCCCTCAAGTCTGAGACGAAGCTGTGGTTTTGAAGGGGGGGGGGGGAACGGGTAATGACTAACAGCAACCTTTGAGAGACCCTTTAAGGATGTAATAATCCAGTGCATCCTCCGTATTCTCTGGGGAGTAGAGAAGAAGATTCTTCCCTGGCCTGGGCAATAATGACCTTGAGTGGATTCCTGCCCCCCCCCCCCCATGGCACAGTTGATTGAACAACAGCATTTCTCCATTGAAGGGAGCCTCTTGTGTGTGCAGTTATCACGTGCTCAGATTCGTAGACAAAAACTTGTGGAGTGCTCAAACCTTATTGTCAATTTTCGCATTTTCAGGAAGTTCGTGGCTCAAATCTCAATCCAGACAAATGAATATTTGTTTTCGAATAGTAAATCTTTTATTACAAAACTGTAAACAAAAATGCATCCATGTCATTTGAAAATGGCAGTTGCAAATGTCTATAAAATCCTGCATTAGAACAGCCTTAAGTGCAGTCTGACATTTGGGAAATTTGGAAATCTGGCATTTTGACGAACTGCCCTGTACTTTAAGGTAGACAGATAAATTGCCAAGTGCTACGGAAGTTGACTGGCCTCTTAAAACACCTGCTGTGTCATAATCTGTCTAAATGGGCATTTCTGGAAATGGTGTGAATTTGTTATGATATTGTAAATTTTAGTAATACCCATTCAAGGCTGACGTACATGTACAATCCTAAATGTAGATTGACATTATTTGTAAACTTTGGAAATATGGCATGTTGTACAACTGCCACGTACTTTAACTTAGACAGATAAATTTCCACTAAAGAAATTCATGGTCCTTTCAAAACACCTGTTGTGTAATATTAATCTGTCTAAATTGGCATTTTTGGAAATGGCATGAATTTGTCAAGATTTTGTGAATTTAAGTAATACCTGTTTCAGACTGGTGTTGCAGTGTCGCGCCATACCAAAAAGCATTAGGGAAGACTTTAGACTCAAATAGACCCTTGTTTCAGACAGATGAATTTGACGTCTTAAATTGCCATTGATTAGAGTCGTGTCTGCAATTAAGATGCTCTGGAGTCTTTCGGATTACAACAGTCTATCTTTAGATGAATTTGCACTTTAAATCACTTTCAATTTTTCAAATGTTGAGCTTCCATGTACTTTATTCAATTTTGGAGTGCTACAGGTAGTTTGAAACTGGTCGTAAATGAACTTTGTACAAAAAAAATTACTGAAAGACACGTGCACTACTATCGTGCTGCAAATCAACCGTCTGTTTTCTGCTTTCATAAACCAATGATTGCTTTTGTTGATATCTTGAAAATTAATCATAGTTGTGCATGTTTTTTTTTTAACTTGGCTTTTAATACAATTTAAGAAAACAACTCAATTATTTAGAAAAGCACAGTTTAGGTACAGGTACAGCCATGAACATGTACATATATACATGTACAGATGTAGAAATTAATGCACGTGCCTCCGTAACCGACAACCCGTCTCACAATGTTTCATCCCAAATCTGAACCCTCAAGCGTCAGAAGCTAGACACGTTTGTTTTGCGTGGCCATTTTTTTTTTTGTAATTTATAATGCCAACCGTATCTATAGCTGCATTAATGAACCATGGCAGATTTTGTTTAATGCAATTGACTCTGGGGGATTTTGATGACCCTACATTGTATGGCCCTTGGCTTCATACTCGGAGGACAGGTGCTACTGAATCAAGTAGGCCACGCGTATGAAATATGCAATGGCCTAACTAGGGGAGAGGGAAAGGGGGGGGTGGGTCTTCGCAACTGCTCTGGAATCAAACCGGAGCTTTGGCAGCCCCAGACTGATTCATACTTTTGGACAATAACCACGACATTGATAGATCACCGATCTTCCTTTGTGATTCCAGAGCAGTTGCGAATTCAGAATCAGTGAGGCATACCGTAGTCGTTGGAGCAGACTATCGGACTTAATTTACCGGTTAACCTTCCCCTTCCCTCCCCCACCCTTTAAAAAAAGAAAGATTTCAGAATGAGAGAGCGAGCTGTGGTCTACCTATTTGGAGTAGAATCTATTGTAATCCGGCCAACAAAATCAGAAGCCATTTTTTGAGGCGGTGCCATGCTCACGCGCATGCCGGACGTGTTTATAAAGACGAGGCGCGTGCGTTTTGTTAACACTGTTGGTGGAAGGATCCCAGAGTGTGCGCAAATTACCTGAAAGCGACTCACGCGAGTGTGTTGCTACCACAGTTCCACCTCAGAAAACGGCTCTCGCCGATTTAGTCTATATCACACCAAATTACCAGTTAATTCCTCTGTCCCCCCCCCCCATCCCCAGCCAGCTACCACGCCCATCCCTTATCCCCTGTCCATGCCCCACCCCACCCAAAAAAACAATTAATTAAAAAAAATAATTAAAAAACAGATATACAATGTAAAGTAAGGATGAAAAGTGAAGAATATTTCAACGTAAAAGTTAGTTGCCTTGTCAGCAGAATTTTTTTTTACCTCATACATTCAGTAGTTGTTTTTTTTATCACTGATGTCTGCTGTGTGCAATACTTCAGAAGGTCATCATCTTATTAACGACACGTGTAAATACTCACGAGATAATGGTTGCGAAGCTACAATCACAATAATCTGGCTGAGCTTTACCTGACAAATTATTGCACGTACGCAGTAATGAGCTCCTCTACCACATAATCATTTCTTTCTGCCGTGTGTCCATGCTGACGTGCAGCTTTTGTGATAGGGACAACGACGTAATTTGCCCAGGAACTTGTGCGGGGTCGTGTTCATGTAATTTGATTTTTTTGCAGTGGGTTGTTTTTCACTTACAAGGAACATTTACATGGCTCGTGTAATGTAAACCACTTTCCCTGGCTCCGTTATTACAGTATACTTGCTAAACTGAAGGGGACCGTTTTTTGGTTAGTGACGTACGGTGTGCAGCGTGTGTGTAATGTTATGTTATTTTCACTGTATAATGTTAATGCACATCTTTGCTAATTGCTATTTTCATAACTCTTAATCTTGCTAGAGTCGCTTCAATCATCCATAGATGCATTAATCAATTTGAAAGGAATATCTGAAAATTAAATGGCAACAACGTAAGCGATTACCCCCTCCCTCTCCCCCCCCCCCCTCCCCTTCCAGGACAGCGATTGGCCGACAATTGGATGGGGCTTAAACCGGCGGGCAAATCATGCATGGTGTCCGTTGGGGTTTAACGGCCCATTAGTCACCGTGCATGCGACAGTGGGGTCATCAGGTCGGGCAAGCCCATGTCACGTCATGCATATGGGCACAGGATGTCGTTAAGATGTGCCTTGGATATATTGAGCAAGCCGTCCCCGACTCCCCGTCGGTCTTGGCCCCCCCCCCCCCCCCCCCTTCTCGCTCCGTCTCTCTATCTCTGTCCAGCCATCATGTCGCTGTACATAAATCGAATCTGCTGTAATTAGAGTTATCACTCCCACTGAGGACGAGAAGGCATGAACCCCCCAAAAAACAGGATGAATATCAGTCCGAAAACACCTACCCACTGCTTGAAGGCAGGGTTTCTGTGCTGTGCATGCACAGTGCTAAGGTTAATTTACCCTATTGACCCTGCATACTACACTTAAGAATTCGAGATCTCATGCAAAGCTAGTACATGTAAGGTGAAGAACAAGTCCAAGAAAAGGTCCCCTTTTTGTGTCCCGTGCATAACGCCATGTTTTTTGGATTTACCGTACATGTACATGTACATAATCATCGCACAGACTAATAACATAAAAATTCTTGTGGATATTCTCCTTCCAGATGCCCAACAGTAAAATAAAAAAAACAACTGAAATCCATAAATATCTTCGAGGGATAAAGTTTCGTTAGGACATACATGTACAGCATGCGCGAATTCTTTGACTTGCCCTTGGCCTAATTTCATGGCACTGCTAATTAGCACGCAATTTCATGCTAACAGAGGCTCCGCATATTTCAAGGAGACAGCAAGCAGTGAGCACAGCAAAACGCACGCTTACCGGTACCTCAGAGAAAAAATTTTGCTTAACTTGATGTAACATATTGTAACAATGGCAATCTTTATGTGCAACCGTTCGCACATCCATCCACGCTGTGGAATAGTGCTGAAGGTTAGTACAACGTTTCTGTTAACTGCTAAGCAGCGCCATAAAATTGGGCCCTGAACAAAAATTATACTCCATTTTTAGTATGGACACATACATGTACCTACATGTACATTATTATAAACCAGTACCCTTGTACACAAATATTAGGCCTTGTAAAAGAAAAATTGATATTTATATCTCAGAGAACTGATAATTGATTATGTACATTAGGCAACATCTGGAGGCTGTTTATTTGGTACTCTAGAGATAGACTGTACAATGCCACCTGGCCTTCAGTTTTGCTACATGCAGTCTTTATTGTTTTGAGTACAGTGTAGTGCTGTATAGAGTCGCATAAATTATACAAATTATATTGAAAACAAGGTTGACCTCAAAACAACATACTGGTATTTTATAGGTTCTGAGTGTAAACGTGTTTCAAAGAAATTGGTCATCAATATATAGTGCTGGATAGGGGTTTTAAACATAGCTAAATTGGTACATGTCACACACGCTATCGTACATGTACATGTATGCATGGACATGTAACTCAAATTTTATCTTCACGAAACTGCAGTTTCTAGTTTGCATCAGGGGAATTTAAGTTTTGACCACTCAAGCACAGGATCGGCTGGCTTGTAACAGATTTGTACCAGCTAGCCAGACATGGCAATCTCAGTAGTCAAGTGGTCAAGACTTGTGCACTAACAAGCAAGAGGTTGGGGTTTGACCCGTCCTGGGCAAACTTGTGAAATATCCTCACAAGATCCAACATGGGTAGCCATGAATACAGTCACATTGCATATGAAATTGTATTAGCGAAGGGAACAATCACATAATAATAACAGTTGTGCCAAATTATTCTACCTGAAGATGTATTAAATTTGGGTTTATGTTTTTCTCTTCTACTTTCTCAGATACGGCATGGGTCAAGTTTCTGAATTCCAAGAGCATGGACAACTTTGCCAGTAGAGCTAGTTTTATTCACATCAACGCCCCCGGGCAGCACGACAAGGCAGAGACCCTACCGGAGGGGTGAGTTTGTCAAAAAAACGCTCTCTAGCTCTCTTCCCAAAATTGCAGAGTTCCTCAATTAAGATGCCTCTCCATAAGGACTAATGTGGCGCCACACTTAAGAGTATGTCGCATGAGGTCTTAATTTGAGTGCAAAACCACCTGCGCTCACCTCAGTTATTGGCTTCTAATTATGGTCGTTGGATCAGTCCATTTGCGTTGTCTGGTTGTGCGTAGTTGGGATAATAGTTTATACTGGGCCTGGTATACAATGGACACTAAACGGACTGAAAAAGAGTACTGAAAAAGAGTACTGAAAAAAAAAACATTAATCATAGAGTTGTATGTATTTTTTTTCAAGTCCAGTGTTTGTGTTACACGTACTATCAAGCTTTACATACATGTAAGTGTTGGGCATTGGGTCGGATTGACCAGGCCAAACCAACCCCATACATTATAGATGTACATGTAAACCGAATCCGAACCAAAACCAATCTGATCCCCTTAAAACCGATCCGACCCGACAAAAATCTAACCCGAAACCAAACCAACCCGAAAAAAACCCCGAATTTTTGGCTTGGGCAACTGTGTCCGCTTTGTGTGCCTGAACTTACCCGCGTCGCGTGAAAATCGTTGTCTCTCAGTAACTGAATCATACCGTACTGTACTAACAACATGACCTACTGGTCGGCCTACATGTTACAGACTGTGCGTGATAGACGGCAAACCACATTTGGTCCTACCGGGCACAGTGACTCCTGCAATAAATACTGCACTGTGTGAATTTCCAAAGTGTTTCAGGTTTATTTTGGTTTATTTGGGGGTTTTCCAAAATGGCTTAACCAACCCGACCCGACCTGAAAATCGCAAACGCAGAACTGCAACAGACCCGACCCAACTGAAATGATGGAAAAACCGACCCAACGCGAAGTCAGTTTCGGGTCAGGTCGTTTTTCGGTTTCAGGTCGGGTCGGTTTCGGTTTTGGGTCGGGTTTGCACAACATTACTTTACGTTCAGTTATGAGTTAAGAATTGAAAGTAAAAGTATTTTTTTTTGGCAATGTCTACCCACAGATACAACTTTCCAAGCATGAAGCAGATTGCAGAAGATCTACCGGAAGTTTTAAAGAGCCTTGGGTAAGTGACAACACAGAGAAAAATCCTGGACACAATGTCCCCCCCCCCTTCAGAAATGAACCCCTTGATATGGACTCCCTGCACATACAGTAGATGGCCCTGTGTGACCAACCGATAACACAATGAAGTGAATTGGACACACACAAAATAAAGTCTGTCACCAATATGGCACACCAGGCCAGCATTTATCTGCAGTTTCCTTGACTGAGAACATTTCTATTCCCCCTGGATGGGGTGCCAGTCCATGGCAGGTTACACCCCAGCTAATGCCGGTACCCATCTATACTCCTAGGTGGAGAGAGGCCAGCAGTGGAGGCCAAATGACCAGCAGCTGGATTCGGACCCCTGACCCTCTGATCATGAGTCACGAACCCTAACCACTAGGCCACGCTCACCCTGTGGTGATGTGGAGAACACACTCCTAAGTTTTATCTTAATGCACACAAACTCATGCTGTCCTCACATGGATATGGCAGTAATATGCGTTAATTTGGCTGTCATCTCTCTGTCATCACTGAGAGGGTCGGGACCATTATTTCAATTTGTTTCCTTTTCTTTTCAGGATTGAAGACACCCGAGAGTTTATCGGCGTTGGAGAAGGAGCAGGGGCAACCATCATGGTCCGGTTTGCAGTAAGTCCTTTTGTCGTATCTAGTAGTGATTGAGAGTCAGCTTTACTTGCTTAGTGTTCTTGATTTGGTAATTGGATAAAATGATAACGACATGGACAACATACTATGTTTACATGCGCAGTTTCTTATTGGAGATTGGTGGCTTTCATCCCTACAGGCACCGAGCTCATCGTGTTCCTTTTTCTAATTTCGTATTTGAAGACATTTTTTGACAAGTTGAAAACCAACTTTTTTTGAATTATTATTTATTACAAAGTAAAACAAATTGAGGATTTTTAAAAATTATTTTGTCCTGTTTCAGGCTTTGGCAGGCAAGAGACTGTTGGGACTCATCCTTCTGGAGTGCACGTCCGGCTCGGCGGGATTCTTGGAGTGGGCTGAGGGGAAGGTAACTACCGAGAAAAATCCCCTTATCTCCTTTTCTTGTTTACCCTCGGTGACGGATTCACCAACCCCTTCAATCAATCATTTGGTTTCATTAAGGATTCCAACGTGACAAACCGCTATGCTGTTAATTTACAACAAGCGGCTGACCCCCGCCCATACAAAAAAAATGCATTGCTACACTTGGAATGTGTTCAGATGTAAACAAGCTACTCACCCTCGGTAAAAAAATTTGCAAATGGAACCGGGGAGATACAGTGAAACGTGAGGAATCTGACCCGAATCTCGTCCAAGCGATAAATGATGTGGATTAATAGACTGACTTAATATTAAGAATCTCTAAAGCAAATAACACTTACAAATGTTCTTTAAAAAAAAAACGGATTTGTTTTTTTTTAGTTTTGTAGTCCTTATACTGGGAAATCAAATTCAACAAAATCGGGTGCTTATTTGTCAGAGGGTTTTTTTGGTCAAGTCCAAAAAGACAAATCACTGAAGTCTTTTTCTGTTTGGTTTTTGAGTTATCAAAAGGGTGCTTAATCCGGGGCATTTCCCCTTCCAGAAGATAACCAAGATAAAATACAAGAGAGTAATTCCACCAAAAACTAATATATCAAGTACGAGGGCATGTACACGTGTGTATATCCTTGCAGATGAGTTTAACATTAAAATGACAATCTACTGCAATTTAAGGCGACCGTGAATCTAAGAACACTTCACATCAGCTCCTCATCCTCCTCCTCCACGTCCTCCTGTAATCATCAAGAAATGATGCAATTAATTACAGACAATCGTAAGGCAATGCTCAGGTGTTCATTAATTGTCAATCGGTTCTTCAATCAATTACTCAGTCTGCCAGACTCCCTGCTGCCTTTCTGTCAGCGTACACCTTGGTTACCTGCAGGGGGTGTTGCCGTCACGGATGGTTGGGGGGGGGGGTTTAATGACAGGCCGTTATCTGGAATGTTTCCTCGTTCATCCTTGTTTAATTGCCTTTCTTCACAGTTTGCCTCGTGGAAACTAGACAAGCTTCACAAAATGAATCCCTCCACGGAAAAATACCTGCTGTGGCACCACTATGGCGGGGTAAGTTCAAACAATGCGACAGTGATTCTAAATAGGCCGTAATTAATGCATCTATCATTAGATCTTAGTGTACAAAAAAAAGGTATTTAAGCAGATAAGGTGACACATACAAAAAATTAATGTGTATACTTTCTGCATGGTGTTAACTAGAAATTTCATATAAGAAAGTTTGCACATGATGCGAAGTTGCTTTTTTCCTTGAAGTGTTATTTGTCATTTTTTGCATGATGAAACATGTAAAACGATTTGTAATGTAACTTTACATGTAATTAAAAAAAAAATTATTTCCTGTGCATTGTTCTTTCCTGCAAAACAAAATTTTACAAAATCTACTTGAGTGCACTAGCTGTCTTAAAACTATGTGCATCCATTCTCCTGTCAAGAAGAGTGGAAGAAAAAATAACCAGATATGATAGTTTTCTTTGGATGCAACGCGAGTCTCATGAGAGAGATAAATATGAAATGGAGACATGTCATTACCACTATCGGCCACCCTGATACATTTATGTATGCTGTTATGCATTGCCTATGTGGACAGCCACATCAACTCATCCATTCGCTGTTTAAGTCGGTCCCAGCAGGCATCACATTCCTTTGCCCAGTTTGACGGACATGTTTGGTACAGACGATACTTATTTATGGCCACATTAAAGATTATTGCCATTGAGGGAATTATGATTATTAAAGGGGGCGGGACATTTTATGTTTCCGGGTATTCTACATGTATGACATGTTTGGCATTGAGCAGTGTTTGTATTTTGAGTTTTATTGCATATTTAGTGATTGCCGTTTATTTGTTGATCTGTTTTTTTTATATGGATATTTTCACATTTCAATCTTATTTCTTTATTTCTGTAATGCATTAATTTCACTTTTAAGTTTCCTATTGAGCATTCCACTGGAATGTTCCTCCTTTTTATTAAAATCTGAAGCTGATTGTATTGTAATTGCTAAAGAACTGGAAATGTCTACATACCGGTACATGTCTTTCAACCATGCCATCCCATAAATATAAGGGTCATTCCATGACAACTCAACAAATGGTGCACACCATCACCTCTTGGATTTTTTTCTTTTTTGGTGTACTGAAAGATACTTAGGAGAAATGCAAATTCTGAAAATTTGGGGTCTCTACGACTTTTCGTTCTTGCGCAACAGCATTTTGAAATTTGAGGTGGGCGGGGCCAAAAGCGCGTCACGTCACGAAATTCAATGTTTAAAGGGCCATATATTTAAAACTATACCCCCCAGACATTTCAAACTTGGTAATCTGGGCTATTTTTTGCTGTAGATTTCAAATATTTAAACAGAAAGAAAGTAGCTTGTTTCATTTTTAAGTTAAAGGGGCCCCAAAATGGCCCAAAACTCATCTGGACCAATGTTCGGGGGGGGTGTAAGTCAAAAATTGAAAATATTTTTTTCACCAAATTTTTTGCCTGTAATAGCCCCCAATCGAAACTACTTTCATGTAAAATCTTACACTTATATTAACTTCATTGAATGAGATATAGCCCTTGCAAAAGGCAAATTGTTCATTTTTACGATAACTTGACCCCCCCAAAAACCAACGTCAGACATTCCGCACCAAATTTTGCTTCACATATGTTTGAGGTTGGTCCTTAGTGAAGTCCTCTGAAAAGTTTCATGTTGGTGTCTAAATGTCTTCAGTAGATAGCTGGGCTTTATAATGAGTCTATATCTTACGGTGCTGGTTCCGTAACAAGTACACGTACATAGAATAAAACAGCAGTTGGTACGTAAAGAATAAGTTGGGTATGAAACTTAGCTTACATTTGTACATGTAGACAGTTGATATAATTGTTTACAGTTTCACAGGTGAAATTATGCATTCCTTGTGATGTAGTTTTGATGAAGTTGAATGAGTTGCATGATGGTTGGCTCACTAAGTTTGTATTGCCTTCCACCGCTATGTAGAAGTTCTGGTGTTGGTATACGCAACACAACACATCAACAAATGGAATGTTACATTTATCCTCTCTTTGTGGCCAATAGAGAGTATTTGTTGATTCCGTCCTGTACATGAAGCAGACATACACATCCTCATGAAGTTGTGATACATCTTCTACAATAGCAATGTACCAAACATCATCATAGACCACACAAACATATTTTCCTGGGTTGAGGTCAGCTGCAACAATTGGTGCATGATGAGTTTGAGCATACATGCAACTCCTTGGATGAACTAGGTTTCCCCTTATCCATAATGAAAACTAAGATCAATCAGGTTAAAACCATAGACCCTCTACTCAAACTGAATCACTTCTCTTTGGTTCAGGTTAGTGCTATACTATGTTGTGCAAGTGAGAACTGGTTAATTACTACATACATGGCATGCATGCTGTGTGATGAGCACATGGAAAGAATTAGACTCTCAAGTCATTTAACCTAATTTGCATATAATGCACACATAGGTCTACAAGCAACTGTTTATTGAGCAGGAAATGGGTAGTCTTGACCCAAGTCTTTCAACAGTCGGGGGATTTTGTTGTGCTGGTTCCGTAAAATACAAGTACATGTACATGCACATGTATGTTACGGAACCTGCAGCATCATAAGATATAGACTCTTTATAAAGCCCAGCTATCCACTGAAGAAATTTAGACACCAACATGAAACTTTTCAGAGGACTTCACTAAGGACCAACCTCAAACATATGTGAAGCAAAATTTGGTGCGGAATGTCTGACGTTGGTTTTTGGGGGGGTCAAGTTGTCGTAAAAATAAACAATTTGCTTTTTGCAAGGGCTATATTTCATTCAATGAAGTTAATATAAGTGTAAGATTTTACATGAAAGTAGTTTTAATTGGGGGCTATTACAGGCAAAAAATTTGGTGAAAAAAATATTTTCAATTTTTGACTTACACCCCCCCCGAACATTGGTCCAGATGAGTTTTGGGCCATTTTGGGGCCCCTCTAACTTAAAAATGAAACAAGCTACTTTCTTTCTGTTTAAATATTTGAAATCTACAGCAAAAAGTAGCCCAGATTACTAAGTTTGAAATGTCTGGGGGGTATAGTTTTAAATATATGGCCCTTTAAACATTGAATTTCGTGACGTGACGCACTTTTGGCCCCGCCCAGCTCAAATTTCAAAATGCTGTTGCGCAAGAACGAAAAGTCGTAGTGACCCCAAATTTTCAGAATTTGCATTTCTCCTAAGTATCTTTCAGTGCACCAAAAAAGAAAAAAATCCAAGAGGTGATGGTGTGCACCATTTGTTGAGTTGGCATGGAATGACCCATAACAGAAAAATACTGGTACAAAACCAGCACCAAAGACTTCCACAGTGCATATTCATACAGATTCTACACATGGCGTACAGCTTTCCATTCAAAGTCATCAGCCATTCTTGCTAGTTCATGTACAAGTAAATAAGTATTTCCTTACAAAAGCGTCAGACAGATTTTGTCTTCCTGTGGTGAAGGAAATACGACACTGAAGTAGCAGACATCCTTTGGTCTTTGACTGCACCTTCTGAAATTACTTCCAGGGTACTTCCTGCGAATGTTGTTTTTACCCCAACTCTCTTGGTACATTGTATGTATATTTTTGAAATCGCCCTAAAACCCTCAAATATACATCATTGTGCAATGAGCATTCGTGGGACACTCTTTGTAAAGTCTTAAACCTTGACTTCCTTCACAAGTCTATCACAAGTCAATCCCAACTCCATCACAAGTCCATCACAAGTCAATCCCAACTCCAACACAAGTCAATCCCAAGTCCATCACAAGTCAATCACAAGTCATCACAAGTCAATCCCAAGTCCATCACAAGTCAATCACAAGTCATCACAAGTCAATCCCAAGTCCATCACAAGTCAATCACAAGTCAATCCCAACTCCAACACAAGTCAATCCCAAGTCCATCACAAGTCAATCACAAGTCATCACAAGTCAATCCCAAGTCCATCACAAGTCAATCAAAAGTCAATCCTAAGTACATCTCAAGTCGATCACAAGTCATCACAAGTCCATCACAAGTCAATCACAAGTCCAGTCACAAGCTGTTCAAATAACTGTAACAGAAGCATTCCTTTGTCATTGTTCATCCCCTGTTACTTGTGACTGGGCTTGTGAAAGGACTTACGATTTACTCCCTTGACTGGACTTCTGACGATCTCATGATGAACTGGACTACAACACTGCCATTGAAGTTTTTAGAACTGAGACAATTACAAGGGAGACGGCAGGAGTTAGTTTGTTGAAGATGTATCATCTATTGTTTTTGGTTTGTGGTCACAGAGGAAGGGAAGTGAAGAAGCGGTGAAGGAATTCCATGCAAGTCTTTACGATCGTCTGAACGCCCACAACCTATCTCTCTTCATCAATGTCTTCCAAAGGTCAGTCCTAAAGACTTAGGATTTGAATAACTAGGCAAAGATAGGCCTTCCATTCCGATGCATATCGGTACAGATTATTTTTTTAAGCTTCAAAGCCACTTCAGATTCAATTGTGAAATTGCGAAGTGCATGTGATTTCAAACTAAGTTTTGCCCTTCACCGACGTATATTCTCACTGTATACTCAGTGTGTTACCTCCCGAGTGAAAGTTGGAAAAAAATCACTCGGGTGGGACTCGAACCCACGACCTCCTGCTTTCTAGTGCAGACGTCTGCAAGACGATGGACTTGCATATGATTTCACAAAATCTTAGTAGCCAAATTTTTCAAGATTGAATTGTTTTAAAGCTCTTTGCTAATTCACTGCAAGAATACCCGCCTTGACTTCAAGAAATTCAAGAAATACTTTTTCACTTTGTATGAGTCGGACTTTACGGCCATCATAAATCTAGCGGGACATTTGTGGGACAACAAAGATAAAAAAAAAAGTTAGTGGGAATGATTTAAATCATGTGCATTTTCTGAATACAAATATTCATATTCCTTCATGTGAATATTCACAAACCCATAGCAACCACCTAAGTGTGGACGCTCAAGGGTCCTCTCTATTTTCTTTACCACTGAAGAGGTACTTTACAGTCTTCAAATGTTCCTTATTTTTGTAAAAAAAAAAGTTTGGTCGTTTCGTTTTATCTTGTAGTCGTACCGACATCAGCCACTTACTCAAGAATCTGCAATGTCCAACGTTGATCGTGACGGGCCACGACTCGCCTCACGTCGGCGAAGTGGTGAGTATCGACATTCAATCTTCCAAGTAAATTTTGTCATGCCTGTTATTTTGTCATGCCCGAGTCATCAGATTCTAATCCCGAGCCCCCTTGAAATGTTCAAAAAGTCTTTTCTTGAATTATAGGATCCATTCTTCTTCAATCTTTGAACCCATAAATTGAAGCCACATTCTTCATCCATTTGGCAGAGATGGTAAACTTGCGCCAGTTTATATTTCAGTTTCAGCTTTAAATACACATTGCTGAGCTGAATGTTGAACTTGACGACCTCTATTTTTTGGGGTCAAACAGCCATTTGTTTAGATTTTGCCCAAAGGTTACCAAAGTCATCATCTGTTATCTCCCAATTTCGCAGGAGAAAGTATTCAACTTGTTACCCAAGGGCAACAAGACGCTCCTGAAAGCGGAAGATGTGGGCGGCGACATCAAAGAAGAAACTGTGAGTATCACCGAGGCAATGGGCCTATATAGAGGGCGCTCTTCATACCTTCTTACCATATACTAGGATGTTCTGTGATGTCTTTTACCTAATTTCTGAGAGAGTTAAATACTGAACACAAATTAAGTGGGTTTTTTTTTTCATCATAAAGTCCTGATCCCTTTTTCTTAATATTAAATAAGGGAATAAATATGTGCTTGGCCGTTTTCAGACAAGTACATTTAAAACCGGCTAGGGCCATGAACGCTTTGGATCGGGCCATTATCCACGACCAGGCCTGGTTTTAAACATAGTTGTTTAATACCGCTAAACACATATTTATTCCCATTCATTAATACCTTATGGACAAAAAATCAAGACAGTGAAAAATTTGCAATTTTCGAACGAGTTTGTTTAACAATTTGACCTGATGTTTTGTGAAACCACCCCTCTTGCCATAGCTATGGTATGTGCCTCTTGCACGAAGTGCTCAAAATCTCCTTTTATGGAGATTGGCTCACGCGGCACGTACTGCGCGATGTGGCGGGGAACACAGCGGTGCAAGAATAAAGTGTTTAAAACCAGCCGGTGTTTTATCAGCGGTTTAAAACCACCCACGTGACAGGTTCTCGACCAATAGGAATGGGGAAACTGTCTTATGTATTTCAAGGTTGATATAAAATGAAGAAATAGTCTCTTCCACAAAAGAGGCATGTGTTAGTCTTTATGCCCAAACTCATGCAACATTTTTTTGTTCTTTCATTCTGTGCAGCCTGAAAAACTAGCTGAGAGCATGCAGTACTTCATCCAAGGGATTGGTGGACGTAAGTATAAAAACAGCTTCCTACCGGGGGTAACTTTGCTAAAACAAAATACTCTAAAACGTAAGACATTGGGATGACCGTAGGTCTGTTTGTGATATCCGGCATCTAACACTATCAATTGTAAATTGTAACCTAATTAGACTTGTTTCCGGAATACTCAGAAATTCCTAATTCCTAATTTACTAATTCTCAAATAACAATGGAATAAAGACATTTCTTTAAAAAACATGTGTATGCCTTCCTTTTTTAACTAACATTAGCTTGATGAGGAAAATGTAAAATTCCAGCTAAGAGTATTTTCTGGACTTAAACGGAGCTCACTATTTTAAGTCGGTGGACGAAGTAATTTGTGGGTTTGCTTTCAGATAGTAAGCGGTACAGATCCCATGCGGAACCTTTCACAAAAATGTGTTCTTTCAGCCAAATATTCCGTTATCACTAATCTATTTCTCCTCCCCCTTTTCTTCTGTTCTCTCCCCCACCCCCCACGCCCCCATCCCCCACAAAAAAAATACAAATAAAAACACCATGTTTTTGCATGGCTCACATTCCTTATTTTGTTTATTTCCGTCCACGCTCGCCGATGAAACTTCCCCACCCTTTTCATGGCCTTCCAATTATTTCCTTCACAAAATTGGCATTCCGCAAATGATTACCTAAACTATATTTTGTCACGTTTTAATAATGTATTGATTTGTTGGTGCCTTTTTGAAAATAAATGTTTTGCAATTAATCTTTTTGTCTATTTTTATTTTCACATATTTTTTTTTCTTCACATTTGTCCATCTTATTTTTCTTTATTATATTCCACTTAATCCATGGACTTTCAAACCATTGACTGCTTTTGCAATTGAAATTGTTCATTTTCATTCAATATTTCATGCTCAATTTCCTGTTGTTAAATTTCTTGTTTCTTCTTTTCACATTTTTTCATCCTTTGTGACGTCTCTAACTCTGTCACCTTTGAATGACAAAACTCGCTGGCGGGTTCGAAATTACAAATCTCAAATTAAAACTACGTTGTTTACAATTTGTTTTATTACCTTGTGAAATTTAAAACGCTGGTATTAAACTATTGAATAAAAAAAAATCGCAATATCATCATGATGCATAAATTATCACCAAATCCAATAAAATTGTATTAATTTGGGCCAATTTTATGCACATGTCTCCCATTGCACCCAAACCATTTTTTTTGTTGGAATCCCTGCATTTCCCCCTCATTCTAACTTTGCCAAAACCCAGTCTCCGCAATTCCTTTGCCTCGTCTGGGACGCAAAGCCTCTCTGGGAGAAACGCCTAAAATCCCCCGCCAATGCAGTATGGATTACGGACTGTGATTGGCCCGTCTTGACCACCAGAATGCCTGCTTACCCAATTAGAATCTAGGTCTTAGGATGTACAGACTTCCTAAGGGGCCGGATGTACAAATCTAGGGTTTACTTAGGCGTCTGATGTAAATTGTACTATAAACGCCAAAACATCTTGACGTTGTAAACTTGAAGACCCGCGACGTGAAGCACGACAGTTGATACTTGTTCATTTTTTAATCTTCAATTTTCACCAAAAAAAGTACATGTATGTTACCTTGTCTCTAGTAAAAGTAATTTTAATGTCTTATTAAGCAGTACATATCCTGTAGAGAATTACATAAGTAAGAGACTTTTCCTTTAAATTTCAGTAATTTTACATTTACTTCATTTTTGATTTCAATTGCAAGTAAGGAGTGATTGTATAACTTTAGTTTTACAGAACAGCTTTCATTTATACTTATGTCAGTTTTCATTTTTTTTTTATCTGCATTTTGTTTTCTTGTGTTCCATTTCCTTAATTTCTACTCATTAATCTCATTTTAAATATATGTCATAACTTTGCCGCACTGGTTACATTTTATTCCATGTAAGTTTCTAGCACACAGTAATACAACTGCACGTTTGCATTTCATCTTAGAAAAGTCATTAATTTTAAAAATCTGATCACTTATTTTCACCAACTTTTTAGTCTCTTGGGGAAAAAAAAAAAAAAAAAAAAGGCTGCCTCTCTTTGCATGTCTACCTTGCTTTTGCAACATACTACAGAAAGAAAAACTTGACTCTTGCAAGTTTTCCAGTGATGGGGCATATATCCTCTGGAAAATTTCCTATGAAACAACTCAGCTGAAAACAAATTGTGGAAAAAAACTAGTATCATTGGAAACATTTGGTTTGATGCAAAAATGTCTCCACTAAAAAAAGGGAAAATGCGTCATTCTGGGTAAAATGTGGCATTTGATGCAAAAAAGTCTCCAAAAAAAAAGGGAAAATGCGTCATTCTGGGTAAAATGTGGCATTCTGGGTAAAAAGTGACATTCTTGGTAATGAGGGTAATCTCGGCACGACAGGGAAAGCTCAGAACGCATGTGTACAGATGATAGTTGCGGTAATATGCCACAGAATCCAACAATGGTTTTTACCAAGACTGACAACTTAAGTGCCAACTTAAAGCCCCGGGAAAATGCTGTTGTTAATTCATCACACAAAACTGATTAGGACTTCATTATATTTTCTATTTCTAATTTTTTTTTCAGGGAAATCATATCCTCGCATTTGTCCGTCTGCATCACTCATTTTGATTACTTCCAAGTCGTTCCTTTTGACTCTTTCCCCATTTTTTTTTACTCTGTCACCATTTTGCCACACCATGATTCATTGAACGCCATTTGGTTTTGTGCTTTTGTGTTGCATGCAGTACCGTCGCTCCCGCTCACCCGCTTAGGCCGAGCAGCATCCCTCGGTGAAACCCCCAAAGAGAGGCGTTCCCACAGCAAAAGCATGTCAGAAATGGACCAGCCCCACCTGGACCAGCACTTGAAGACAACCGAGCATCACCATCAAGCCGAGGTGGCCGATCAGGCCGCCCAGTGATTGCAGTTTCTCATTTTAGTTTGTCATTTTTTTTTTTACGCCATGCATATCGGCAAAAAAAACGATTCTAATCTGGGCGCCCGCCCATCACGTATCATTCTCACAAAACAGTAAAACGGGACAGTCAGCATTTTGTCCACATTCCCAACAATAAGAAGCAACAAATTTAATAACATTTAAAAAAAAAATTAAAAAATCAAAAAAAAAAAAAAATAGAACGCAAGATTGTGGTTTTGTATTTTACCTCAACTCAATGTAAGTCAGCAATCCCCGTCTGCGTCATTGTGGTTTAGAAGTGCTACACAGCAGGAAATGTTTCAAGCAAAAACTCAAGAATCGACCCTTTTTTGGGTGGAAGGGTCACCCCTCAGGGCTTGAAGAAGTGCTCCATGTCGTTTCTCCTCAAATTTATTGGATTCAGTAAGAGACCTGGAGCAATTCCCCCCCCCCCCCCATTCTCTCCAAACTTTGTTCAATGTCCAAGTTTGGTTCTATTTCAGTCTCGAAGTAGATTTTTTTGTCAACACAATATTAAGTTCTCTCTAATCTGAGTGTTTTTCCCCCAAAACTCTTCTCTCTCAAATTGAACTCAAAATACTGCAGCTTTGAAAGAAGACTACAATTTGCCAAATGTTTCCCGATGCGTAGCATTTTTAGACCACAAACCTATCAGTTCCCCGGCTGATTGATGTTAGTGACCGTTTTATTTTTTAGCTCTTAGAGAATTTTCTGCAACATTGGATGGATTCCGGTGTATCATTTACAAGTCGTTGTTTTCCCTTTTTGTTTTTGCTTGGTTATGTTTATTTTAACCCTTCAAGTTTTATTTTCTGGTAGTTACATGGTTTGGCGGCTCAGCAGAATATATTTCCGGAATGTTTTATGTTTGTGACCCTCGTGATGTGTATTCACTAACATTGACACGTTGTTTGTTGACCCTTGTAAGATCTTTCTGTATTTTTTTTTTCCAATATTTGTCAAGCACTGTCAAACAGATTTTTTTTATAGCAGAATTTTTTTTCTTTTGCCAAAAGAAATTGAGAATATTATATGAAATGATTAAAAGAGAAAATATTTTATTTGTAGAAAAACGAAAATTTATTCGTGACCTGAAATTGATCTAGTGAAATATGTCGGCACACACAAATGTGGTAGTTTTGAGTCAAATTCATTTGCCGTTTGATTGTAAGTGTTGATGTTGTTAAGGTTAAATAAATCATCAAATTGAAGGCATTTCTGTTAGCTTTTCATCCCTTTTAAGTGTTTTATCCCACATTTTCTTTTAGTAGTAAGAAAAAAGTAAAAAAAAAAAAAAATTGAGAATGTCTGTTTTCTGCAGTCGTGAAGGTTATGAGTAGATTGTGTGGCACTTTTATGTACAGCAGACAGTCAGGCAACCAGAAGTGAATTTGTATAAAGATAAATCAACTCTCATATAACAACAGTTTTGCTGTTGAAAAAATTGAATTATAAGAGAAAGGGTAGGCGATATGTGAAATTTGGTTGGAGCAATACCGTAGAATAGAGGTATGAGTTGACACGTGACACCAGCACTGTCATTTTGTTTGGGCGAACATGTTGGAACGTTCAACACAACTTAGAAACTGCATTGTTGATACTTACATCAGACATGGTTTCATGTTTTAAACAAATCGAATAAAGAACAAAAAGGTTCAAGTATCACGTGGCTTAAAGCAAAATGCCAGCAATAATGGAAATCCATAACAAAAAAAATTGAGTGAGTTCGCCATTTCTTAATGTTACTGTTTGTCAATTTGTCAACAGTCGACCAGAACATTTATATTTGTGCAGGTTATCAAAAATGATCAATCCAAAACCCACCAAATGTTTATAGACTTCATTTTTTGCAGCAACAACTCACAAGTGTTTTATGTCAAAGGTATAATTTTACTCTTGTTGAGTCATATTTGAAAAAAGTAACATTTTTGGTAGCATTACAAGCCTTGGTGACATCATTTTGATGAACTGAATCTGGTGAATCTCAAGAAAGATGTTCTATTAGTCACCTAGAAAAATCACTTCTTTGAATGTGTCGTTTTCTTTTAAGTCTTGATGTGGTGGGAAAATTCCAATTTCAAATGCTTTCAATCAATGGCTCATGTCTTGTGGAAGTGTAGTACATGTAGCTGTATACTATGTGGGCCATTTACTGAAAGGTAACTTTACTTAATTTTAAGCATGGTCATCATGAACATCTACATGTACTGCCAACGTTGTTACTCTGGACACCGTTTATAACTAATGGCCGATTCTGTTTCTGTGGTTTTTTATTTTCCCCGCCGTCAGCTGATCGCGGCCAAGTTTCTGTGGCTCTGCTTAAATTTTGGCTTTTGGGCATGCATGCTTACGTCCGACAAACAAGGATACGTGCTTACAGCATTAGCACAGAATTACTGTGCTAGCACTGTAAGCATCGAATGGTGATCTTAAGCACAGAATTCTGTGTCTAGCAGAGCCATCAATATTTGGCCCAGAATTTACGCACAAAGGGTTGACAAACCAAGATAGTATGAGATATCGATATCGATTCATACAATTGAAAGATATACTTTCAAATGACACGTCAGTTTCTGACAGAAATATTTCGTTGTTCAGAAATCAGTTGATTTTTAAATTTGTTCCTACTGCTCTTCGGGATATTTTTGTAAAATGTTAAAGCAGGTAGGTTTCAGCTTGGAAAAAAAATGGACTCAAAATGGCGGGTACCGACTTGAAAAGTTGGACACAAAATGACAGTTACCAGGACTAAAGTTGAACTCGAAATGGCGGGTCCCAGCCTGAAAAGTTGGACTCGAAATGGCGGGTACCAGCCTAAAAAGTTGGACTCGAAATGGCGGGTACCAGGATGAAAAGTTGGACACAAAATGGCTTTACAAATTAAGTGGTGAACACTTGGAATGCCTGCATCACTGAATACAGTGTATATTTGTGTCCAGATATTTTGTCCACTTTATAGAAGCCTCAGATTCAACAGTTTTCACATTTCATACGGTAAATTAGAAGAGCTGAAAGTTGCGGGTAAAACTGAAGAAGAGAACCAAAGTTTCATCTATATACTTAAAAAGATTTCTTATCCAAAACGTGTGTGTGCTTTTGAGGTGGGCATCTGTGATGATTTAGGCTGAGCTTGTAAAAGAATAATTCAAAAGGTTGTTGGTTGTCACAGCCCACTGGAGACGAGTAGATGTACATTATTGTGAACAAACGAATGCATGTAGGCTTTATTTCCAGGGGGAAAAAATTAAGATTTATTCATTTTCTTTCTTTTAGCATTTGCGAAAAAAATTATATTGAAGTATGAATCATTGTAAGATATGTCGACAATGTTACGATATTTCGTGAGTTTGTTTCTCTTCTGGGTGGTTTAGATGTCTGTTAAAATTCCCGTATGCAAAGCATTTTTTTTTTTTAACTACGTATAGGGAAAAAATGCCGGAGGTTTAAACAGTGATAACACTGTCCAGAACAAAGGGTTTTGACAAGGAAGGACGACTTCTTTTATTTTCCGTTGTCAATGTGTAGATGTATTCAATTTTACGAAAAAGGAATTTCTCATTTGGAAGACTTTGGAACATCAAATAAATTTCTAAATGGATGTAATTAATTCAATTTTTATTATGAATACTTTTCTTTCTTTTGCATTTTTTTTTTGTTTGATGACGCAAAGCACATTAATGTTATAAACTGTTAGTCCAATTGTCAATGGTTGATCCATCAAAAAAAAATAAAACCTGTTTTTACTGTTTTTGTAAACATTGCAAAAAATGTTTTAAGTTGTACAAAAAATGAAAAGGATGCAAAGTCAAAGGGGAAACAAATTAAACAAAAAGATTTAATTGCTAGGACTTTGATGTTTATTAATTGAGATGTATTAACCAAGTTGCCCGTTTGTTAATATTTTGTTTAAATTTAGATGATACGTGTTCATGTTTACACCCGTTTGACTTGACCTGTGACACCGTAGAAAGTAAAGAGACGTTTAAACAAACTACATCATTCGACAAGAGTGTTTAAAGTACAAACGAATTTACTGTAGGTATTGCTTATAAACAAAAGACTGTAGTTTTTGATTTAATTAATTAATGAACCAATTTATTGAATGCATCTATTAAATAAAAACTATTTTCATCATTCCAAAACCAGTGGCGTGTGTGCAATTCCTTTAATTGGTTTTGCCTCGTCTTAATTTTAATATTCTAACTTTCACCACAGGTAATTCACAATACGTAATAAAAGTATTGCATCACTGAAAATTGATATTTACTAAGTAATCAAACAATTTCCTCAGCTTTTCAATTTTTACATGTGTTTGCCCTTTTCAATATAACACAATGAGCACTATAAATAATGCACGTTTTCTGATAGTCTTTTGCTAAAAAAATAACATTTCACAATACTGTTTTGTTAAGGTTCAAACCCAAGAGTTACATGCAGTTAATTCAGAAGTCCACACCATTAACCCTAAACCATCTGAAAATCAAGTTTCTTTTTTAACTTGAAAAGAAAAATTACAAGAATCCGAGAGCCCAAGTTAAACAATTTTTTTGGACACTGTGACCAAGTTCCTTGCCTTAATCAATTTCAGTGCTGTGATACGTATCTGTGTAAAATCCTGCAAGTTGTGAAAAGGTCTGCGGTTGGGATTGGAATCATTTGCCTGGCTATCAGTCATCATGGCAAGACCTCAGTTTAATGCTCAATACTGTCTAATACTGTATATTGGCCCACTGTGTGCAGAGTCGCGCTCCTTACAGTTTCTTCCGGGTGTGGCCGATGGGCGTGTCCCTTGTTTGGGCATGTCCATTCTTTGGGCGTGGCATCACTGGGCGTGGTCTTTCAGAAGGAAATCTACAGCCTGGGCCAGGTTATCCACAAACCCATCTGGTTTGACAGTCGGATGACTCTCGTCTGATGGTCTGTGCACAGGAACAAACGTACTAAGATAGTTTTAAACAAAATTTATAATAGTGCTTTGGGATCGTGTTAGTTTTCCAAATGTGCTCTTTAAAATGATTCAGTATTATAATTGTGTTAAAATTAATTTAATGATCTCCAAAATCTCACAATAACTAAATGCCCCCTTTACACTAATCACCACACCCTCTCCTTGATGTAACTCCTTTGCACTCCTAACCATACCTGAATTTTCCCGTTCTGACTTGGACACCCTTGATGCCACAGCTCTGGGCTCCTCCTATGTCATTAACAAGGTCATCGCCAATCATAACAGCCTGAAATTAAAGGAAACGGCACAATTTCATCATACGAATCACTTACTGCAGCCACAGTTACATATCAGTATTATCAATTTTAAAACAGCCAGCCAACCCTGGCAAGCTCCGAGGTCGAGCACGTAAGGCATCGGCATTAGCAAAGCAGCAGGTCGTTTGATTGTATTCCACCTAAGCAAAGATGGGTCAAAGTGCAACACTCAATATTTAAATATCAAGATCAAGTGTCATCTGCCAAAAATTAAGGACCTCTGAATTAGGCTAGTAAAAAAAATGCACTGTACATGATTTCAGCACGTAAGTGGCTAAATGACCAAAATACAATCTGTTTTGACTAATGAACAAATGTACTGTAAACACTTTCACCAAGTACCTCTAGTTTATCTGATTGACTTACATGTTGGGGTTGAATTCCCATGTCTTTGACCGCACCAAGAAAGAATCCCTTTGCAGGTTTGCCAACAACTTCAGCCTTACAGCCCGCTGCATACTGCCAAGTTCAGGAATCAAAGACATGTTGGAAAAACCTCTTCAAAATCAAAATCTTATCGGTAACCTTGTTTCATTGAGAAATGGAGACGGGAAAGTCCTATAGAAGTAGAGTTTTGTAGCCTCATGATCTGTATCACTGAACTCAAGATCTGGGGGTTGTGGGTTCGAGCCCAGCCTAGGGATGGGAAGTGTTTGTCAGGCAAGGTACTTTGTCTCTACTTGCATCTCTCTCCCCACCAGTGCTGTACCCATGCCAGGGACATGGTGTTTGTGCCCTTGGGCAAGACACTTTACTACAAGTGCCTCTCTCCACCCAGGAGTATAAATGGGTACCTGCCAGGGTAGAGGACCGAATGTGTGCTGATATCGGCTGCCGCTTGGTCTCGCGGCCTGATGAATGGGGGAATAATTGTAAAGCGCTTTGAGATTGTTGATACGATGGAAAGTGCTATATAAGCATTACAATTTATTTTTTTATAGGTAGCCACAAACGCTGTGAACAAGTACCCATTCAATTGCTATTGTTCAGGTGTTTTTACTGCGAAGACAATACAGGTATGGGCACATCCTGATGAAAACTTGTGGTTTGCAGTCTGCCATACAAGTACATCAGTGTGCGACATGTTTCCTTGGACTTTAGGTAGAAGTAGTGTTTGTTTGTTAAGTGCACCTATCCATTATTATTACCCCTGATCATTGGGCCAATGAAGCATTCCAAAGACATTCTCAGCTCCCTGGGGAGTATACAGCTCCATGCTGCCATTTCGGTGCAAAGCAGCTAAATCAATCACAATAACCATCTCTGCCCTCACAGGTACCCATTTACTCCTGGGTGGAGAGAAGCAATGAGTGACAAAGTGCCTTGCCCAAGGGCACACGCACCATGACCCCAGGCTGGACTCGATCCCACAACCTGCAGAATTACCCGCAGACCATGAGTTCGATACTCCAGACCACGAGGCCACGGCACTTCATCAGGTCTTGTAAGTAGGCAACCGAATGTCTTGTACTGCTCCTGTGCAGTCTTTAGCCCTCTCCTTCCCCCACAGACCCCATATCCCCCCCCCCCCCCAATATTTTTACATGATATTTTTGGATGACTGAAGAAGTGAAGACTTAAGGAGCTCACCTCTAGCGCTGCCATGAAGCAACCAACATCCATCATCAAGCCATCTGTTTCCTTATAGTACCGCCTTTGAAAATCAAACACGAGATGGTTTTTAAAAAACGCTAGAAAAGAAGAGTTGTTTGAGGATATGGGGATGGGGGGGGGGGATTACCTTGTGTAGTTTCGCTTGTTCCTTTGCATAGAGCAGTAGGTAAGATTAGGACTAGGATTAGGAATTGGAATAGGATTAGGAATTGGAATAGGATTAGGAATAGGATAACAGATACAATTAGGAATAGGAAAAAGATGATGTTGGATTAAATTTTGTCAGTTTTTGAAAATCCGGATATGCAACCAACCCCTTTCCCATGGAGATCAACACTGGGTTCTCTTGGCCAATCAGCACGCGGAACGCCGCGTTCAATCTCTCGTAGGTGAAGCTGACGGCAGCATCTCCAATCACAACGCAGTCCGGGGTCAACTCCAGGTCAAACTCAGAGAAGTCTGGCACGGCATCTGGAAACAGACGGAGCTGTGATCAAGGAACTGTGGTCAAACAAGGGTCACTACCAAAACCGAAAATGGGTTTGATTTATACAAGTTTTGAGGGAATTACTTGAGTGTTCAAGGAATTTATCCCTGCTTCAAAAGCCATTCTTGCAAGGACCTTCTTGAATTATTCCAAAATCGTCTGATGCGTAGGGGTATAAATAACGTCCCATTTGAGGTACAAGAGGCTGGGATCCAATTTCCTCAACACAAGGAGGGAGCCTCTTAGTTAGACTTCCTCGAGGAGTTCTGGAGGATAACAACCAAGTACCAAGTACAGGGCTGAATCAGACCAACCTGGATGGACGAGTAGATATGGGTGTAGCTTCCTCTCTCGGACCAGCTGGCAGGCTGCTGGTGCAGGGGAGAAGACCTCGTTAAGGTTGATGTCGAAGCCAAGACGTCTGAGCTTGTCTACGAGATACTGGCGGGTACACTGTGACTCATTGGTGCAGAACCTAACCTTCAATCCTGATGACTTCAATCTAAGTACACAAATATTGGTGATTGAAAAGGGAGTATTCCATGTTCAGTTGTCATACAGAATTTCAAATGTAATTTATCATGTTTAGAGAGCTGTTTGTAGCGTAGGCCTAGTTTGTATATTTTTTTTTACAAGTTTACCAAAGAAACGACATGTTCATGATGTTTTTCACTGCTGTTTGAATAAGGACTAATTCGCCTATCAAATGAACCCCCCCCCCCCCCCCGCGATGTAATGTGAATGCGAAAGGCGCGCTGAATCGCATGGCATCTTAATCGTAAACCGCGTAAGAAAATCGTAATTTCTACCGCAAGAAACTGTTCAAAATTACAAAAAAAAGTGGCATAGGAATTGAGAGAAGTCAACTTTAGCTTGGAAAGGTCATTTTCGAATGATAGAAAATCACCCTTGACTCCATCTAATTCGATCGAAACTTGTAAAGAGGAGCTCGTAACTACACAATCGCTAGTAAATGCACAGCTGGCAGGCCGCGCGCCCTACGAGCTACGCAAAATTAAGACTGTGTCATGTGTGTAAAACTACAGTACTCAGTAGTCAGTAGTAATTTAGTAAACACACCTTTTGACTGCATCAATTGACCCAGCTATCGGAGTTCCATCGCCCTCCCCGCTGTCATATAAGACACCTGAGATATCAAGCAGCACTCCCTGCAAATTAGAGCTCCAATCATCTCCCCTACTTGTCATAATTAATTTAATTATTAACTTATGAGTTACACATCGTCGCATACACCCATACGGATCATGTTGTCTGTGTTATTTTTTTATCATAACTCTTGAGGGCGCCATATACGTTTGACTGCCCGTGGCCAGCCGGCTTCCACGCCCCCTTTTCGAAGAAGTGATTGTTTAGAAAATTTCCCAATCTGCCACGATTATATACGATTTCATTTTCAAGCAGTGAAATATCGCACTGTCAATCAATGAAAAATCCAGACAAGTATAAGAGTTGGTTTATATTATTATTATATTTTAAAAAATGAACAGAGTCGATGGAAAGGTTTCCTCACGGATGAAATTTTGTTTTGCTACCTAATAAACCGATCATTTAGCACAGAATAATCAACTACTAGCAGTGAAAAAGATTTGGCATCGTTTAACCCTAGCGGAATAAACAGATCTGGTTAACCGTCCGACTGTTGGCGGGTTTTTTCCCCAAAGCGAGTGAGATCCGGTTTGAGTTGCCTATTGGTGAGTTTAACATCTGGAAAACATAAACCACAATAATGTACATGTACATGTACATTACATTCGTTTCCTTGGTTGGTTAAAGGTGCAAATTCGGCCATCAAAGTTTGTCGGATGTAGGCCTAACGATGTGCTTTAGAAATACCCATACGCCTACCACACATTCTAGTGTTTCACTGTTCCATTTTCCCTTTAAATGTCGTTAGAATTTTTTTTTATCGGCTTAGAAAAACAATCGGGAACCAGTCAATTCCGTTTCCTGATAATCCTTGGCCTTGCAAACACTCTTTAATCTCAAACCTGCATTATCATTGGCATTTTCCTTGAAGTAAATAACAGGCCTTCAATCATACAGAACTACGTCAAGATACTGAATCGCGGCCATGACCGTCACTGATTCGCTGCAAGTTTGTAAAAGCCTGACATTAGTCAACGCATTAGCCAATAAAAAACAACTGCATCGTTATAGCTCCGCCCATCATGAATATTCAAATCTATATTGCTACCAGCACAACATTTACACCAGTCATTGCATGCATTGATGGTGTCATAGAGTGAGTGCATGGTTACACAACAACTTGTTAACAAAAACTAGGGTTTATCGCTCGGCAAGAATGAACTGTTTTTGTGGATTATTGTCCGACCAAGGATCATTTGGACAATACCAACCCGCTTCAATGAATGTGCTGGTAGGCTGGAGTACGTAAAATCCGATTCAGTCCGGGCGATTAACTTCAAATCTTACTGATCAACTTCTGGTTGAGCGGTGAAAACGACTGCACTGTGCACCGGTGCATAGCGTCATAAAGACGGCATCTGACGGTGACAGCGGCCGGTAGGTTGGCCAGCTACCGTGGACTTTGTCTTGGCAGAGGATTTGGTGATTTTTGGAGCTCAAGTGAGGTGTTGATTGCCGTGTGAACCATGCCGACTGGAGTGGCATCAAGTTCGGTTAAGCATTCCGGCAAGATGTGTCGAGTCTTCTGCCGTTTACTTCTTGCAGTTTGTAAGTTTAAAAAAAAATTGATAAATTATTTAGAGGGCAAAGTTGAAGGGGCTAACGCTTATTGTTAATGTTATACACAAGATTTTTTTTCTTCTTACGTGGGAACCCTTGATTCCCTCCCTCGTCTAAAGCCCACTCCCCCCCCCCCCCCCCCGTGAAAAACCTCCCCGCTGTTCAGATGAAGTAACAATACGGGGTTGAGAATACGAAAAGAAAGTGGGTCACCTGTGATTGCGTAAACACGTGTTATTCTCTCACAATAAAAAGCATCCGTTACAAATAAGCACGTTATCTAAAGACCCGGAAATTAGTGGATGTGGGCTTTGCTCGAGTCGCACAATACAAGGAAATATTTTGAAAAGAAAGCTTTTCATGATAATGGGATGTGATGTAGGCCTACGTGGGGTCTACTATTGTCCTGAAAGTCAAACATGTTGCGTCATTAAAAATAAACGGAATGCTAATAAGGGTATCTTATCAACTTTTAAGTGTAAGTGTCTTCGAGGGCAATGAACTGTGATTCGGATTTACAATTGAAGAAGTCCTGTCGAAATTTATCCAAATATTTGTTTTCTCAACTTGATTTCAGTATCAAATGCTTATGAATGCAATGACGGGATTCAACACTTACTTAAAGATGTTTTACTGCTCCTTAAGATTTTACTGAAAATTCCACATTAACGGCAGATAACCTCTGCAATGTCTCTTACATCGTGGTACATATTAAAATAAATTTGGATATTCCAACAAACACCACCTTTTGTTGTCGTATGCCGTCACTCACACACTGTGCACATGGATTAATTGCGGATAAGTTAGGGAGGTCGTTTCCTCATTGGGAGGCAGTGGTTACTGTTATCTTACACGTAATATGCTGGAAACGGATGCTGCCTCTGGTCTGTTCATGAGGTCAGGGTTCGGTGAAAAACTATGTCAACATGGGGAAAAACAAAAACAGGAAAGCTGTTTTAATCATTACTGTGACCCGAGTTTGGTTGTAAAAAAAAAATCGGGGTCGGGATGCATTGCATGTATACGGAGCCATTTTTGTGTGGTATTGATTTAAGTATTCACTAATTATCATTGAAGGCAACTACCTCGGTAATACTAGGTCTTTATAGACTTGACCGGGGCTTGCAGTCCGTTCACTATCATATCCATCGATCCTCTGTTATGTCCTGCATTTGAACGTTGATGTATTTCGCAGTATTATAGGTTTTGGTAGACCCAATGAAGATTTTTTCTTCTGTCACGCCATTAAAGGGAATATACATCATTTGCTTTTGCTGTAATTTTCAGAAATGGATGGAATTGGGGGGTTGGAAATATAAAGCAAATATAGTTACACTGACTTTTTGGAGGTTTTGGGTTCGAAAATGCTATAAAACCAAGAAAAACGATCATTTTCCTGTAGTCTGGTTCCCTGACTCCATATAAGAAGAAACAGAGCAGTTTACATACATTGGGGAATTGTAAGGTCACGGATCCAGTCTAGCTGGCTCGTACCCGTTCATAGGTTTGTAATCGATTGCAAACAAGTGCAATGGTCAATTGGGGCCAGTATTTGAAAAAAAAGCCAGTTGTTTCCAACGCTGATCGGCCGATCAGCGTTGGAAATTGATACAAAAATACCACTTTTCTTGAAAATGACAGTATACCAGGTGCCATAATTTTACAGGATGCTTTAGACTGTCATTTACCAACATCCTATTAAGGTATTTCGCAAAAACTTGGTAGTTTTATTTTTCGATGTTTGCAAATGTTGTATATTCCCTTTAACAAGTACAAACACTTCCTATACATTATGTTAGCTTTTGAATTTTTTTTTGTACAAGCGTGCAATCAGTTGTTTCATTGCTTTGATTTGCCAACATTGAATTAACAATTTCACAAGGTTTAAATGCGTAAACCATAACAGTTTCTCTTATAAAGAAACAGTATACACCCTTAGGCCTTACTACTCTAATTTCAACCACCTGGTCTACGTTAGACATATTGAACGATGTCATTACAACTATACACCCCATAGTGTGTACCATAACACCTTAAGATTCATTCTTTCCATTTTTGGAAATTTCCCTCGGGGTATTTTGATTCCAGAGTGCTCATTTAAAGTTTCCCTCTGAGTTACAGGATTCCCCGATGTGTAAAATTGTGAAGAAATAAAACAGAAGTTTCTCGATGGAATTTGTCCCCCCAAAATGACAATCCAGTCAGACACACCATTAACGACAGGTTTTTAAACAAACCAGTAAATGTCAAAATAATATAATTTTCAGATTCTGAAGTTCAGATCACCAACTAAACGTGCCAAAATGTATGTATATATTTTAAATATGGAACATGTAGTTGATGTAATAATCATACACTAATTACATCTCTAATTTGGAACGTGTAGTTAGAGTCAAAATTATTATCTACACGTTTCAAAATAAAGGTTTTCTAATTTGGAAAATGTATAGTTGGTGTAAAAATCATCAAGTAGGCCTACACGCTCTATATTGATGAAGTTTTTTATTTTAAACGCGTAGTTGATGTCACAATTATCAAGTACACGCTCTTAAATAAAAATAATAACAATTCGGAACGTGTAATTTGAGTTTTATCTTTAAAAACCTCTAAAAATCATCACCCTATCTTTTCAAAAAAACTCAACCACACAATTTGCATTCTAATACCACAGTGCAAGGTACAATGTAGGCTAGACCTTTGCGCACAAACAGAAACTAAAACTGCGACAGTATCAAACTGTTTCCCGAAATTGGGACTTCCGATTTCTTGAATTGAAGCTGATAACCCCATAGTGTGAGGCTCTCTGCCGAGAGCTGGGCCGAGAGCTCGGCAGATAGAGAGCCCCTCGAATAGGGTCTGTGGGTCCCGGAAAAAAGACTGCCGCAGGTACACAACTGCTGAGGAGCATGTCATGAAAAAATAACTAAATCTAGGCGATAATATTGTTTTCATTTAAACAAAAGAGATTTGTGCCCACATTGTGTTCACAGAGGATGAGAAACTAGTTTAACCATGGGATTATGAGATGATTCCACCATGCTTGAACCATGCTTGAATTGAGCGCACACTCAGCTGTTGGGCAAAGACGGGTTGTTTTCTAATGCTTCTTAAACCATACAGCAGGGACGGAGTTGCAACTCACAGATATTTACTGACCAAAAAGGAAGAAAAAAAGTTCAACTGTGTGTTACTTATTGTGGCTGGTTCTCAACAGCCTTTTGCTTACATTTTATAACGTTGCTAAGCACTATTTTAGTTATACGCTAATGGTAGTTTGTTTTTTGCTGATGTGTGTGATGGGGTATCGTATTTACAATCAGCACAGCTGAATAATGTATCTTTGCCATGCAATCTCATTCTCTTTTCTTGACACATTTGTCTTATAAGTTTAGCGCATGACTGTACTTTTATATGTGGAGTTGCTGGTATCTACAGTAGTTAAGAAGGCATTCGGTATTGGAAGTATTTATACCTTTTAGGGATGTTTGAGAGCTGGAATCATGAAGTTTAGTTGACATGATTCCCCCATGCCGAGAGTTGAAACCAGAGTTACAAGTTCAAACCATACCAAGGTCTCGTTTAATTCACCACTTTTTATTACACACAACCATCGTTAATAAGCAAGGAGTAGACACGATTCAGCAGGTGTGACCCGAATCAGATTTGGCCAGTGTGTCTGGTTTGTTGAGTTCGTTCGCGTTGATTTCGTATTCTACAAAAGTGAAAACCCTCTTTGGGTGTTTCTATGTTTGATCTTGAAGCATGATTGTCCGTTCATGCAAATGCTTTCACTGCTTATTATCTAATTCTTAATTTTGATATAAATCATAGTGCACTCACAAACATTCAGATACAAACTGTATTTGGCTTGAAAGGAAGTCGAACATTCGTTGTGTCTCCTATTATCTAATGCTTTCGTACTACAGACATAAAAAAACTGGCCAAAAGCAAGAGGATATAATAATTCGACCCCACCATTCTCGATCTATGTTCAGAAAGATTTTGCAAATGCTATTTGTCGCTCTTTTTATCTCGTTGTTCCACTCATCTGTTTTTCATCTGCATTTTGCCGTCGATTTATCACGTGTTTGTCAGTGGCGCACCCAAGTGGAGCCCCCCCCCCTTTTTTTTAGTCCCACGATTTGACATGGGGCCTATTTTCGAGTAGTATAGGGGTGTAAATGGCGCCAGCAACGTCCCCCAAAAAAGTAATTATTTTTCTGCGGCCACAAATTTTGGGCAACATTTTTGGAAAAAAAAAAAAAACTTCTAAAAAACATTTAAAAAAATATTGTGAGCCCCTGTCCCAAGCCAAATCCTGGATGCGCCACTGATGTTTGTCTGTCTGTCTGTCTGTCTGTCTGAGTCTCGGACTGTTTGTTGGGCCGGTCCTGTATACGATGGACTTGTCTGACTTTCTTGTCTGAATCTCTTTAAAAAAATTCAGTGACCTGGCGTACTTGCCTTGACTCAAACTTGGGGAAGCCTTCTGCATTTCTCCCCCACGTAACGGTGGCAAGAATACCTTGTTTTGCCACCTGCCTTGTTTCTGTTTGGAGAAAGTTATTTAGACTCTGGGTGACGGGAGTAACCTTAGAGTCGAAAACTTCCAAGAATGCCTTACAACTTGGGGTAGGAGTAAACAAAAGTAGCGTCAAGCACGCAACGATGCTTGGGTTGCAATTTGAACCAGTCAATCAGAGCAAAAATACTTTAAGCTTGGGTATTTCCATTATTTCAAACTGCCTTTTTCCCCTCATATAATTTGCCCAACTGGACAACACACATGATATACATACCGTTTATTGAGCAGAATAAGTTCAATTCGTAAAGTCCATGTGTACAGTCATCAGCTCTGGGTGGGGGTCGCCGGTGTCGATACCGCTATCGAGTGTCGGTAATCGATACTCTGATCACCAGGCGGCCGGCTGCTGTCAGCCGAATAACGAGCCGTTATGTTGTGTCAACATTGGATCAGTATCGAAACACGACCGGCTATACGTTGGTGTCCGTCTGTCAGCGCCATAACTGAAGGCGTAGGAATTTATATGCGCCGGAGGGAATTCAGTTGCGTCGTTATTTTTACGAGCTTATGTTCCACAGAATTATTTTAGGTGTCAATTCGTTTATGACGGCTCGTTGGTTTATTCGACAAATGATGCCGTTACACCTGATGATCAAGGGCAAGTAGAAGCTGATATAAGCAAAGAGATCCGACAATAACATATCCTACAACAGTTAGGTCGGCAAACATTTTCCATTTTCCTTGTATGTACATATGGAAAAAGTTTAAATTAAGTTCAATTACAATTACGTTAATATGTCATTCGTATAACTTGTACTCCGTTGGCTCTATATTTATATAGTAGTCATGGGCGTCGCCAGGATTTTTTTCTAGAGGGGGCAGCCCATTTCCCCCCCCCCCCCAAAAGTCCTATATTTCCCAGCATTTTCCCGATTGATAATTTTTTTTTCGCGGGTAGGCAGGGACATTTGCCCCCCCCAACCCATTAAGTTAACAATAATGATTTCGCGCATCTTTTTCTCTTTTTTCCCCTTTCCCCCCACTTTTTTGGGGGCTTATCCGGGGGGGGGGGGGCAATCGCCCCCTTGCCCCCAGCCCCCTCGCGACGCCCATGATAGCAGTTGAAAACTACGCAATACTGCACATTATGACATTAGGAAAATGAAAATTTTGATGCCGATTACTTTTACACTGAGAGACTAGACGTCGATTTTAGCTTCAAATTGCCACATGAACCTTATTTCGCAATACCCTCGGCGAAGATTCCTTTCACTGTTGATGCATACAAATATATTTTGTACATCTATAACTCTAGGCCAACAATCGTCTTTAAATTGTCCTTTAGTTGAGATCTTTTTTTTCAATGCTTTAAACCCCAAGGCTATTTTGACACAGCTTTTGTTTGCTAACTTTCATTGCGATAAAGTCTCACCCGCAAAAGTCTGAAGTGTTTTTTGATAATGAACTCTTCAGACGTCTTGAGAGTATCAGGGCAGACGGTGTTTACAATGGTCTGGAAAATCCTGACAAAACAATCGAGTACTCTCAGGAAAACTACTCGTTGGTATCAGGTGGGATTAACCCCTTGAAGTACCATGGGAACCAACATGTGGTATCCATGGCGACGGCAGAGACTGGCGCGCAACGTTGTCATCAGCTAAACAGAAGGCAATTTGTTGTCATGATGGAATTTGGAATCGGGTGCATTAGACCCTTATCACTTTTGTATTAACTTTTGAAATATGCATATTAGTCTTAGGTGTGTTTTTTTTAAAGGAAAGTCAAGGGAATTGCGTGAAATGTTTTAGGCTAAGTGAAAGATTATTGCTCGGTAGTTTTCAACCGAAAAAACAAAGAAGCAATAGTTGAAAATAAGGCAGATTTAGGAGGTGGTTGGGGTGGATAACCCCCTCTTTCCGTTGGACAAACAAATCCCGTCTGTTTTTCCCCCAAACAACCTTAAATCTCAGTTCATTGGGAATGTTGACTTCTAAACCGCAGTCACAACTTTTAAACTTCCTTGCTCCCTTCACTAGAAGAAAAAAACATGGAGTTTATGTCCTGTCTGTTCTCCATGCCGATTAGTTTTGGTGTTCTGAGAAAAAAACATGAACCCTCCACTTGGGAGAATGCAATCAGAATTAACTCTCTTTTGAGGAGAGTTACAGATAATGCCCCAACAATTCATCATCCTTTGCGCTCACTGACGGAAGGAGAGTACCAGGGACGACGTATGGTAATCCTTTGACACTTTTTTTTTTCTGAATAAAAGATTTCATCTTATCTGCCCTTTAGCGAATCGTCCATTCAGAAAAATCTGTCAAGTGGAAACGGGACCAGTTGCAATGATATGAGGAGCTACCAGTTAGACTCAGTGGGGGCATAGGTCCATGTTAACCGGTACCGTCCCTGACTCACGTTGCACTGTGCGGTTGTTCGTTATTGTTGGTTAAAATTTTGGATGTAATTAGTTTCATGTTCAGACTGAGGAGTTGTACATACCAAACCTTATCTTAGGATGAAGCATTTTGTAGGCCTTGGTCTTCTGATATATCGTAAGTACAGATATTAAGAGTGAGTTGATTAAGGGTTAATTCTAACGGGACAGAGCAGGATATTTTGCTTTAATTCCTGCACCACAAGACTCAAATTGAGAATCTGTGTGAAAACGATGACCAATTTTACTTGATCACCGTTTGTCTTAACACACGGTGGATCTTCTAAGATCTTTTTTTCCGTGGCTAAATAATGTGTGACAATCAGTCAGAAAACGGCAGATGAACTACTACATATTGGGCAAGAGCAACATCTTTACGTAGGCTACTTGATCCTAGCCTCATTTATACACAACACTTTCATGACACTGCAGTCTTTTAAACGTGTGTTCATACAATTGAGAAAACGAAGTGAGGGCGGGTGTTCCCCCAAGATCCGGGGGGGGGGGGGCAAAGGGGCAACTCCCCCCCCCCCCCGGCGGATTTTTTGGAAAGAAACTTTTGTCAGTAAGTATTTCCATAAATGGTTAGAGAGTTTTGACATCAGCCCCCCCCCAAAGAAAAACAGCTCCAAAACTATTACAATGCGCCGTGAAAATCGGCATAGATTTTCCTGTATGCACAATAATGGTCAATTTTGAAGAGCGCCCCATTTGGAAGATAGGTACCCCCCCCCCCCACACACACACTTTTTGATTTTACGGAGGCCAAGTGTCCGGAGAAAAAAACACATGTCTACATTTCGGCGCGAATGTGCGGTTCCCCTCTCCCCCCCCCCCCCCCCCCCCCCACATCAAAAGCTGGATACGCTACTGGTGGTACAGTATAACAAATTCTTTTAAAATACAGAACCGTAAAAACTGCCATATTATGAGGGTATAGTTGAGCTTTCTGCCCCCCCCCCAATTTAGTACAAGGTGATGGTGGTACTGTCTTCACAAGAATAAACCCACATTTTCCTCAAATATAATTAGCCGGAAACAAAACGAACTAAAATGTTACATAAGATGACTCAGCATATAGTCATACCATGGCATGACTTTGCTGGTATGTCTGGTATAGTACCAGACTATACCCAGCACGATTTGTGACAGGGGGTACCCCCATGTCCCTATACACACCCTAGACTATTGCTACCTAGCAACCCCCTCCCCATATCTCAATAGGACCTAGATTCCTTTCAACTTGTCAGCCTTCAGCTTTTAGTGAGCCAGTGTGTTCACAGGGTTTCGTGAGATATCCTTTGTTAATAATGTACATGACTAATCGTGTTGATATATTTTTTTTCTAGCAGGGGTAGAATTCTGAGAACACATTTGAAAATGTAATAGTTATAACTGTTATGTTTTTCCGACTCAACCATTTCGTGTTCTCACAGGAATATTTCGACGCCCTATCAGCAATTGTTGCGATAAGCTGTAATAATACTGTCCCGACCTCTTGTGCAGCGTTTTTCGTTCACACACAAAAATACAAAAGTTATACAAAAGATTTGTTTTCGTTCTATTCTTTTGATACAGATTTATGCTTTCTACATGGAGCAGCAGGGGAGACGAACCAGACCAATCTTCACGTGGCATCATTCAGCATGCGCGGTGCTTCGGGTCAGGTCAGCTTCTTTGAGGATGGTCCTGGCCAAGACGTCACCATCCACGTTGCCCTGATAGGGCTGGAGCCGGGAACCTATACCTGGGCAGTCCATGAGAAGCCGATGATCTACGGGCAGCAGCCAGTTTGCGGTGACGCCCTCATCGGTGGAGTCTATACACACGGAGGGGATCTGAGTGCCGTGGAGAACACCACCAGAGTGTCTGAAAGTGGGAGTTGGAATGCCAGTTACTCGAACGCAGTGATAAGCCTTAAAGGGCCGCAAAGCATCACGGGTAGGACTCTGGTACTGCAGGAGTCATCGTCCCAAGAGAAGTATTGCGCCATGATAGCCAACTCTCGCGAGATGATCACGGCGGTGGCGAGATTTGACGCGCCTTTCGCCGGCACGGTGACCTTCCGCCAGGAGAGAGACAACCCGGAAGCAGAGACCGCCATTTTGGTAGAATTGTATGACGTCACTGATCCCTTGACCTCGATGACGTATGCTTGGCGGGTCAGCAGCAACAGCGGCTACAACCACGATATGGACCTGGCGACTCGGTGTACGGAGACAAGCTCTGATGTGTACAACCCCATAGGAATTGACGCAATGGCTTGTGGGATCGACGATCCATCCCGTTGTCCAATTGGACACCTTACCGGTAAATTCGCTGACGTCACTGTGGAACCCCTCCCCTCAGTCGTGACGCGTTATTTTATCGACACCAACTTGCCGTTATCCGGTGAAAATTCGGTGATGGGTAAATCACTCGTGTTCAGCGACGCTGCGGGTGATTCTGTGGCTTGCTCTCCAGTCTTAGAATTAAAACCCAAATCGGTGGAAGCTCTGTTCAGCGTCAGGAACGTATCTGGGACCATCAGGTTTAGTCAGAGGTCGCCTTATGACGCCAGCAAGATCACAGTGGCCCTGGAGAACCTACGAGGATTGGGGACGGGTATTCACCTCCAGGAACTTCCACCGCCTCCTCGCACCTACGCCAGCGACTGGCCAGCTGGACCAGACAACGTAGCCGGCCATCATAACCCGTACGGCATCGGGCCTGCACCGCCTCCGGGCACCGGTACCCATGACCAGTACGAGGTAGGAGATTTGAGCGGGAAATTCGGCCTCATGACGGGATTCAACCACTTCAACGACACCTATTTGGATTGGAATCTACCTCTGTTTGGAAGAAATAGCATCATTGGCCGATCGTTGGTGATTCATAACATTGATGGTGAACGGTGGCTGTACGCCGCCATCGGCTACCCGACCAAGAGAAAGATTGTCAAGGCTGTCTTCAAGGCGCCCTCTGTTGGTAAGATCGTGATGAGTCAGGCCATCGACGATCCCTATGCTGACACCAGTATTTTCGTCGAGATGGCCTACGCAGACGGTTCGGACACCACTACGGGCCACGACTGGCACATCCATACACAATCCGTGGCTGATGATTACATCTCTACTAACGGTCGCTGCAGCAGTTGCGCCGGCCACTTTAACCCCTTCGGCGCTGATCTCGGTCCAAATTACACCGAGTGCTCGCCTGAATTCCCCCAGCGGTGCGAACTGGGAGATCTGTCCAAGAAACACGGCCAGCTTACCGTCACGAACCAGATGAACCTCGGCGCGGGCAAATTCTTCTTCATGGAGACCGGGTTGCCGCTTAGCGGTGTCCACTCTATCGCCGGCAGGTCCATCGTCATCCACGCTGCCGATGGAGGAAGTCCGAGGATTTCCTGCGCCAATCTCCTGGAGGTACCACCGACGGAAACCACCGCCGACCTGTGGTCCGAAGGACCCGTGTCTGGGGACATATCCTTCCAGCAAGAGTCCGTCTTCGACCCTGTCCAGGTACACGTCAACGTGGAAGGCCTAAGCAGCCTCGCAGGTGGATGGCACGTCCACCTGCTGCCAATAGACGAGGACGTAGACTCGGCACCGTGCGGCCCCGCGTCGGTCCAGGGACACTACAACCCCTTCGGCGTGGTCGGCTCGCCCGCCTACGGCACGCAAGACATGTACGAAATGGGCGACCTGAGCGGCAAATTCGGGGGGTTTTCTGACTCGCCTGACGCCTGGAATCACGTCTACTACGACACCAACCTGGCCCTGGAAGGGCCACGGAGCATTATCGGACGATCCCTGGTGGTCCACAAGAGCGCTGACGGGTCACGTTGGGTTTGCGCGACATTACATCGTAAAACACACCAAGACGACTTCATCATGAAAGCCAAGGCTGTCATAACCACCTCCGATTACACTGGCTATGCTGTACTGGTAAGTCAAACATGTGCAATACGTATTGTAAATTCGGCTGAGTCTCAGCAACTCAGTTTGGGGATGCTGGCCACTTGTGGGCGCTATAGGTAATAGAAATAGTCTGTCAACCAGCTTTTCCTTGTATTTTTAATTGCAGAGTCAAACACGCTATCACACAGGGGCCTTGGGAGACGCGACCGTAGATTTCGGTTTGCAGTCAAACGTCGCTGAGGTTAGTGGAAGTCAGTTCTTTCCTGGCTTCGTAAACGTAGTGTTTATAAATGTATTACTTAGGCCTAAGCGGCTGCCTTTTGATCACATTAAGTCCAGTGTCTCGAAAGGTCAAGACTATGCCTGACATAGGCCTTAATTTCCAAACTCGTCTGGAATCCAAAGTTAAATTTATCACTTTACAAATTACCGTACGGTTGATAGCAACCATAACCGTCGAAACGGTAATCGGCGAAATCGTTTTAGGGATATAGGCCTAAATTTGACAAAAATACAGTTACACTATCACAAATGTATAAGGACTCAGTGACCGACAGTAAGTTCGCAATTAAATGAAGTGAACATTAAGTGTCTGCAAAATGGTCCTTTCCAACTTTAGGAAATTAATGAATTATATTTGGTTTTGTTTTGTCATACTAAACACGTTTGTCGTGACAGGAGGACACCTTTTACTGGAACTTACACCCAGGGCAAGTAGATGACGATACCTGCTTAGACTCGTCATCAATCTTCAACCCTTACGAAGTGTCCATGGTTGCGGTGAGTTAAAAATCAATGGCAATAGGTTATTTTTTTGTACAGTTGAGGACGCTGTTACAATGCTACTTCGAGGTATAAACAAACGTGAATCAAGGCGCTTGATGTGGATTTTCATTTGACCACTATTCCAAAATTGCATATTTTTTTTAACAATCTGTATATATTGTTTTTACGTTCAAGTAAAGATACTGAATGGCTTAAATAAGCGCAATCTTTCTACTGTTTGCAGAAATTATTTGAATTGGAGATGTTTTGATCAGCAGATGACCCTTTTAAATACAATTGTACACATGCCGTTTCTGGTTTTGATTTTAAATAAGAATTTCTAATCTAGTACTTTGGAGCAAGCATATTGACAAATGCATGTTTGCCGGTTCTATACTTTTTTCGGTTTTTCGTTTCGATAAAATTCCTTAAAACGTTCTCTTTAAAACGTTCTCTTGAAATCGTTCTCTTTAAAATGTTCTCTTTAAAACGCTCTCTTTAAAACGCTCTCTTCAAAACTCTCTCTTTAAAACGTTCTCTTTAAAACGTTCTCTTTAATACTTTCTCTTTAAAGCGTTCTCTTTAAAACGTCCTCTTTTAAATGAAATTGACATTTCGCAGGAATATGGCAGTCAGTGCGATACGAAATCACAGCTCCGTTGTGCGGTGGGGGATCTGACGGGCAAGCACGGCAACATGAGTAGTGCCGTCAAACGCGCCGTCTACACCGATGTCAACCTGCCACTCACCGGTCAAGACTCAGGTACATCAGATTTTACGAAGAATTTTCCTTTGAGAAGGTGCTCTTAATGATTTCATATTTATTATCTATTTATTATTATATATTGTATTTAATTAATTTATTAAAAATAATACTGTACACGATTATAAATATGAATTTCATTTCTATATTCACTAAACAAGATATTCTGTTTGCTGAAATAGCATCATTGAAAAAATAATCTTGAAAAACTGAAAGCGACAGAAGTCGTCTATTATTTAATATGTGAAAATTCTTTCTTTTTTTGTATGTTAGTTTTGGGCCTTTCCCTTCATTTGATATCAACAAACACTGGTCAGTTTGCCTGCGGTACCGTGGAGCCAGATCCAAGCACGGGAAGAGCCGAATACCTGTCATATCCGAGCACCACAATATTCGATCCGTAAGTACATCGATATGTTCTTTACACATGTTGTACGTCCAGACCACTGTCAGAGTATCGATACTTGTATTCCGAGATCGATAGTTTGGTCCTCTTTTGCCATCCTTGTGCGGCCATGACCTGTAAGGTCAAGTGTTGCTCTGATCTTATTCAATCATCAGTGAAGTCTAGACACTACAGACGAAGACAAGTCTTGTGAATGGAAATAAGGACACAATCTTTTCTCTTAAATTCGAAATTTCCCCCTTAAATTTAATCAAACCCGTTTAACCATGACGATCAAATTCTTCATTTTTCAAACTTCTTTCAACACAGATATAAATTCAGGCAGGCCATGCACGATCATATGACGAATGCCGAAATGTGGCAAATAGTTGCGACGCAAGAGCCACAGAATAACCCAATGAATGACTGCGCAGTGCTAAAGTTCTACTTTATTGGTAAGTTAGAACGCCCGGATTTGGTAGTAAGCCCCACCCACCTGTGGTTTATGTAAAATTGTCACAGTGCTTGTGACTGAGTTTGAGAAAGCTGATGTGGTCACCTGACCACAATTCCTGATCTGATTGGTCAATGCGTACTGTTTGATTGACAGTTAGGAAGGACGAAGTCAACAAGAAATTTGAGGGTACCTTGACATAACGAAATCAACAAGTTATAGTTCAAAATCGTCCGCTCATAATTGAGGTAAAAACTTTTGAAGGCGAAATTGTTTCACTTTAATGTTTAGGTACTGGCTTGGATGATATGGATCGGGAGTTCAAGCAGAAAGCGAACTCCGACGAGCTTGGGGAATACTCGCCTACGTCCCAATGCAAAGGTGGGTTAATTTAATTTGACACAAATCTGAGTAACCCCCAAAGTCCAGTCCTTATAACATAATCTACCAAAAGACAAAATTTGCATAAACTGTTAGAAAGCACTGCATTACTTACGGGCCTGATATTTTCGTTTGAAAAACGGCATGACATCTTGCATTATAAATTCACCCATCCCCGTCTGTGTTAAACTCCCCCATTTTTTTTCTGACATATCTGTTTCTTTATCTTCGTCACCAACTTGCTGTGTTTTTTCAGGTATTATAAAAGCACGTGCATGAATTTCCTCTGTATGCCAGAAGTGTTTATCGACATGTACATTTCATTTGATTTAAAGTTATTTAACCTGTATATCAACAATTCTCCACTTTACCAGATGTCAGCGGAGGCTCGAGCCGAACGACAACCGTTGGGTCTTTCGTGTTCTCAGTACTACTCGCCCCCTTCTTGGTCCTTCGGCTGCTAAACTAGCGTCAACATCGATGTCTTTCAAATTCCCACCAAGAATATTGTGCTATCTCGATGTATAAGCAGCATAAAGGCAGAGTTCAAATCGTGTCACTTTCCAGTAAAATGACATGTTAGGTCCCAAGTAACAGGAATTAACAATGATTAATTTTAATAGCTTGTCACTTACTTGAGGTTGAATGATTTCTAATTGACTCGTGATGACTTAAGAATGACTTCCGATGACTTGAGCATGACTTGCGGGGAATGTATTACAATACATGTAGGCCTATTTAGAATTGGAACCATCTGTTTTTCAACAACACAGCAGAAACAACATTTTTTTGTGATAAACTAAAGAAAACAAACGTTCACTTTTGATTCGTTTGTGACCTTCAGAGACCTTTTGATTATGTGCGAAGTCTTTCCACAGCTCTTTTTTTAACTACAGTTTTAAAGCCTTGACCATAGCACTTTTGTGTGTGAGTTCGTACCTATCACCCGAGCACTTGTGACACCTAAACATTTTCTTTCATCTCTTATTGGGCGGATTTCGTTCACTCGGGTCAACACATTTGTGCATGACAAGTGACCTACCCACAATACTTTGCAAAGTCTGCATCTCCTTGACAAGTTTTTAGTAGGGATTAGCGGTCACCAGTGTCATTGGATGGAGCATGGGTACCAGCGAACACTGTGTGTATATTTTTGTTATTCAATGAATTTCTCGGCTTAGCAAGCAGAAGAAAAAAAATGCCACCCGCCTGTTGAGAAAGAGATTTGGGTTTTGATCACAGAGGATTTGACTGCAGGTACCAACATCCATTTACAAACAAACGAGTTTAACAATTTGCAAAAGATATTTCTTCCTGACGACCAGCTAAAGGAAGCGCGCCCTCACCTAATTTGAATTATTTGTAAATAAACTTTCCCACAAACAAATGGACTCTCGCGACGTCAACGCAGCTTGTCCAATTACGTGATATACAAATGGACGCGGAACGCGCAAAATCCGAGACAAAGAAAACTTAACGTTCAAAATTCTATAGAGTTGTCTAAGGGGCGTGGCTAACTCGCAAACGGTGAGCGTTGAGCCATTAACTTTTTCATCTTCGTTTGTTAGACCAGCTCTGATTTTTGTTCAACTTTTTTTCTCCCCTATTTTGTTTTCGACGTTTTGTAACTACTAACACATCGTTTATTAATATTACGTTTATTCGGTTCAACATTAGGCACATTAAAGAAGACAACCTTAATGTTTACAGTTTATATTTCTTAAATAAGGACGGTGTATATGTTTTTGAAATATATATAATATATTTGAAATAAATGGTTGGACATTTTTTTTCTATCACTTATTTATCACTTATTTGTTTTCGTTCGAGTACTTTTATTTTATGGGCTGTTTGTGTGCGTGGTCGTTCCCAGGTACCAGGCCAGCTCCACCCCACAGTGAACCAATCCGACACCCATCCCATCCCACCCCATCCCACCCCCGATCCGCAAAATGTGTTCGCGCAGCAGAAAATACGAGAAAGATGCCAACCACAGTAACACTTTTTCAGTTACATAAAAATTACCACTTTTCAGATCAGAGCTGTTCACGTCACAGGACCCTGACAAAAGCAAACGGAAGTACAAACGAGAAAAAAAATCAATCATGGTGTTATGCCTTTCGAACGCGGACACGGAATCAGGCGATCAAACCCTGAATATATTCGACCCCAATGTCTTTGATACAAATCGAGGCACTCCTTGACTTTCTGCGCTTTGGGTGAATAGCGATCGTTTTTTGTGTGTGCAACTTTCTATACACGGATTGGAATCGAGGGGAACTTCTGTACCCTGGTACATGTTTGTCCACTGAACCGTGCATGTTTTAGTAAGATCGACGAAAAACAACATTCCATAAATCTATTGTGATAGGTGGCAGCATAGTACATCATTTAAGCCCCTGGTTTCCCAGCACTATATGGAGTATACCTCATTTTATTTCCCTTTTAAGGTACAACGAAGCAAAAGAAGTGGAATTTGAAGAGTATGTACATAAGACTTGTCTATTCAGTGGGCCACACCCACCGATATCGTGCCAGACTTGAATCAAGTCTAGTTCAACACAAGACTTTATATTGTTGCACACGTTGGGGGCGTGTCATGCACGAACCGTGGCCGACTGGGTCGTGACAAGCACACACCTGATATGAATGGGATATTCACATCACGTTCTTCTGATTGTTGTGGACACAGATAAGAAAAATGACAACTAATCCAGGTAATAACGTGTAGGCAGGGGTGCTTGTTATCCTGGCTCGCACAGTGTCCTGCAAGAACCCACGTTCAGTAGTTACTTCTCGCTACGGACATTCATTAACGCGGAAGTGATCCTTCTTCGTCAGTCGAATTAATGCCAGCAGCGTGCTTGTATCGCGTGTAATAATCCTCTGTGCATATTATACGTCCAAAAGGGCACTCCAGTTGCAATTCACGGGTATTTAAGCATCGCGCTTGAGTACGGGATAGAGGTGACTTCCCCCTGGATCGCATAACGAGAATTGTAAGCGGATCATTCACAAGATGGAATATCTGGTCAAGAGCTGCATCGTGTGTAAGTATACTGCTCGTTAGTTCTGTTGAGACTAAACAATTTGGTGTAGTAGTAAATGTTTGTCTTAAGTGGTAATCGAGATCAGTGAAACGGTCGATTTCTATAGCGTTTCATGAACGAGGAAACGAATATTTTTTGGAACTTGGTAATGCGCTAAGATTGATTCAACTCGCTTTCTGTTTCAGGTGCGTTCCTCAAAATTTATTCTGAATGTCAGAATTGAATCTGTATAAGTCTTTAAATAAGATATGGACACATAATTTACAAGCCTTAATGGTTCACAGATATTACTATTAGATGCTTCTGAACTGCCTATGATTTATGTGTCATGTTAGGGCCATCAAAGCGAAAAATTTGGCCTTGAGGGAAGTTTGAGATTGTTTAAGCATGGAGCTATAATGGAGCTCCGTGGTTTATAAGCAACTACATTTTTTTTTTAAATTTGAACGAGCTTTATTCGAAGTTCCCCTAAGTTCTTGTCGATTTAGTGCCTCTAAAGAATAGTTGTATAGGTCTCTCTATTTTCTTCTATGAAGTAATAGAAGAAGATACTATTCCATAATGGGGATGTCTAGAAATGTAATAATTAAGTTTTAAGCAGGCGATACAGTTGAGTTCGACGCCACGACACGGTCGTTCAAAATTTCAACTGTATATGCCCAAACGAAAAATGACTCTACATGTATAAAGCGTTGAAGCAACATTCACATAGCAATAAATGTACTGTGTTGTAAAATAATCCAAAATGTACACATTGTTGTGACTGGCTCGCAATGATTTATATGTGCATTCTCCACTATTGCCCACTTTGTAATGCTCATTGACTGTGTGTACAATATCATCATAATCTTTACTATTCCGAGGGTCCATGATATAACACTGCAACCTACAACACTTGAAAAAAAAAAACGACACGTGAGCTCAATGCGTATCGATTCTCTTTTATCAGCCATCTTGCCCTGGATCGAACCCGAAGCGCTGAAACGAAAGAGGAATAACAATGACCGAAAAAGTATTGACAGTTTTTAACAATAGCCTGAATAGGAACTAGGCACTATATAAATATCCACCTCGATGATAAAATGTGGCATGTGGGCACTATGGTCAACCGCATATAAAATAGCAACACATTTTCGTTCCAGTAGAAACTGCTTTACTGCCCACTGCACCAATTCGTAATAGCCACAACAAAGCCCACAAGGAAAGACATGTGTATTTAGCATTACCCATTTCATTTTTTTCCTCAACAAATTCAGGGTTCAATCATGTCTTTCATTGTGTTTTTGAGTTGTCACGTATTTTCAACGCCCAGCTTTCAACAAATAAATTTAGGCCTAAACAATCCTCTTAGTGTTTGTCATGCTTATCCAGCAAATAGGTGAATCCGTATAGTTGGATAATGACTCAACAGAGTTTACTTTGGCATGATATTTTCCTCAGCTTTTTACCAGTAAATTTTCATTTAACTTCCGTCTAATGTGCATTAAGCCTGCCTAGTCACTGTGCTTTGTGTACTCAACCATTGTATAATACCAGAACAAGAAGTAGGTCTGCCAGGATTAAAGGTCACTTTACATGCAACACGTTGAATTCGACTGGACCAATAGGAAACACAGTCCGCAAACTCTATAAGCCTACTACCACATACCCCATTCGAGTTTTCTGCCAGTGACTTTGAACCTTGTAAACATAGCCCCATTGTGATATGTGGGGCAAAACGTTATCAGCAATTTTTGAAACTTAAAGGGTTCATAAAACGATTTTGTTTCATGGAACATGTGTTGTACAATTGTGTACTCCTCTTAAATGAAGCATACCTTTTTGGTTAATGTTATTGAAAAGTGCACTTTAAACATTTAACATTCTCCGTGCTCAGTTTCCGTACAACTGAGGGCGCTCTTGTCGTGATGTCATTTCAGGAAGACACTGTTCAATTTAGGGGCTTTCTGTTCAATTACTGTCAACCCTAAAAATGTGCTCTTTGAACACACCGATGAGAAAAGTTTGCTCACTGACTTAATGCCATGGATGTACTGACACAACAACGAATCACCAAAGATCAAAAGAATTACCAGTCACAGCATAATAAAATTCTGGGAACTTTTGGTGCTGTAACATTGAAATGACATCACACTTTTGCTCATGAATATTGAAATTCACATTAGCGTAAAAACAAAAAGGCACCAAAACACACTTGAAAATGGCAAACAAAATTGAAAATAAGGTTAAACGGGGCACAAAGGTGCATTTTCAGGACATTGTATGGGCCCTTTAAGAATCAACACATACGTTTAGATCTGTATTTCTGCGTTATTTTGACTTGCTTGTTGAGTAGAGCTGACACCCTGCACTTTGGATCACGTAATCTTTTCTGGAGATAAACGGTGGTCAATAATTTGGTCCAGCGATAAAATAATAAATCAACAATAATTGCACTGTCACGCAGATCGAGCACAGTTTACAAAACTTCTGTTTGAAAAAATGATCATCATCCAAAGTTTTGAAGTACGTCAAATGATCAATTGTGGCGTGCCTATAGAGTTTGGAGTTGTGGCATATTATCAGAGTAATGTGTTCGTATTTATTAACCTGGAATTAATCATCACCAATGTGATTTAGGTCTGTCGTTACTTGTGGCTTTTGCCTTTGGGGGAATGACTTTGGAGCAAAAGATTTCTCCTTTGTTGCAGAATCAATGCACGGTCTATTTTTGGGGGCAAGGTCGCATGAGTTTGCCTGATATCCATAGCTGCAATAGTGGAAATCAATTCAGAACCACTGACGCGAAAACCCAGTGTGAACATAGTCGCCTAGCAATGAATTCATACAGCATGCAATGTACTTGTATGGCTCTTTCTATGCCCCCCACCCCCCCCCCCCAAAAGAAAAATCACGCACGCATTTTATTTCCACTTGGGCTTAATGAAGAATACAAGTATGAGGCCAGTAGAGGTGGGAAAACCCGAAAAGCATAGCTTGTATCGGGCATGCCATTACAATACAGACGAACTATTACAGAAATATAATAATTATATTTCTTAGCAAAATAAACAAAGTTATGAGTAATGGGCTACGCGTAGGATCGCCATACAAAGTTCGATATGACACGTATAGTATAAGGTACAATTTCAGTTTGCGTTCATATTATATGACCTTGAACATCTAGGAGAGAATGGTCAATTATTCCATATACACTTAGACGTGATGACAAGTCGTTAGATAGTCGTATTTTGTCCACATGGTCTGCAATGAAAATGAAATCACATCCGGTACGGAATGTGTGCATTTCTATGGGAAGGTTTCGGATAGCATTTGCGCGCATTGGCTATTAACTGCGGTCTTAAACAGCTGCAGCCAGATGCTTTATACTTTGGTCATGATAAGTTACCCAGAATGCCATCCCCACTTCCTTCACAAGATTCTGTGAAGCTCATCAGCGTATCCCAGCGCCCTGTTTACAGGGCGGGGGTACGAGCGAAGTCTTATATACACTCAACCAAAAAAGAAAGTCATGAATCACACTCACCTTGCACGTATACAAAAGTTCAACTTTTTTTCGATACCATTTGTCATAAATTACATACTTTTGTACACATTATCACTGTTTGGGGCCAAATAAAGAGTATGGCTGGATTGCTAAGGAATTTCTGTCCTGATTAGTCGTTATTTGAGCGAGGGGTGCTCAGTAGTTTTTGAGTTAGACAAAAAAGTATTGGAAGGGGGACTTTCTTTTTTGGTTAAGTGTAGTTTAGGTCTGGAGTATTTAATGTATCGACACGCAGATGTTTTATGTAGCGGTATGTGGAAATATCAGTATAGACCAAGTAGGCCTACTGTGGTGAAAATTATGTGTAGCAGTCAGTATTTTCGTTCATTTGAAAGCTTTTAAGAACTTCATGAGTCATAACATGTCTCAATTTCGGAATTTCCGCCTTGATCCTGTTTTGTTTGTCTGTGCATATTGTGTCTTGTTTCCTGATAGAGAAGTAAGTTAGAAACATTGAATATGATCCGATTATACAGCAAAGTGAGAATTTTCGTTTCGCAAGAAAAGTTGTGTCGGCGAATGTTCCTGGTTTGATCCCTCTGGAATGTACCGGTCTCTTCCAAACACGTTTTCGTCGACCTGTGAACACATTGAAAGGCTCAGAGGCAGGAGTAAATATTTGTGCTGGAATTTTCCAAAATGGCATTTGTTTCCCACGCACTTCGCCCACTGCCATGGTCCGACCCGCCCGTTGGGCTGGTCGTACCATGAACTTAAACAACGTCATAATGGTGATGCCATCATTGAACGACTCATTGGCGCAATTTCATCGTTTTACTTTTTACTTTTTAATTTATAACCTTATGCACCTGCATACATTTTGTGCTTGCGGTTAGTGTTTGCTGAAAATGTTGCCACTATTGCTTATCGAAACTTGTGTATTAAGCAAAAAACCACTGTGAACCAGACATGAGCGTGTCATGGCATGACACTTGGCTGGTATACCAAGTCATGCTAAGCAACTATAGTTTATGTGCTAATATTTTCGTGCTGGGCAGTTCAGTGAATTCGGCCTTAATACAATGATCAAAAGTAGGATTATGTGGTAAGCATGGGACCAGCGCTGCAATGACACATGTTTTAGGTTAAAACAAAAATAATCGAAATTTCTCACGAAGTGGCACGAACTTGTCCCATCTCCACAGCTGGCCAGTGTTCGGTCTCATCGTGAAGTTCAACGACGGCATAATCGTGATGTCAACACTAAATGACCATGACACGCGATTACACAAGATTGTCTAGGTCTGAATATGGCCATATTGGTAAATGGCAAGTCACCCTTCCAATTCAATTTGTCTCCCATACACATGACGTCATTTCAGAATGGGCAACGGCAGAGGATGGGAAAGGCTAATACTACTTCGAAATTACATGTACCGGCCTGTTCGACCCTTTTAATGGTGTGATGTCTGCTTGGCTGAACATCTTAGGCCACGGGCATGTTGCTAATGAGCAGCAGGACTGTGTTTAATTTAATTATCTCCTTCATGTAGTCATAGAATTTGGTGAAAAGGGCACGGGGAGCAACACACACATTGTCAGGGTCATCGGTTTTTATACTGATGAAATTTCAGGCACATTTGGACGCTCGTTGGCGTGATGAATTTGGCAATTTAGAAAGAGGCTGCTGTCATGTAGGCTACAGTGTATGAAGCTGCTTATTCAAAACGTTAACTTGATATCATTAGTCCTTTGCCCATTTTGTTTTGAAAATAAAAGAGATCATAACCAAAAGACGAAAATGAAAATGTTCTGATGTACTTATTTCCCCAAATTAAGGTGACTTAAGTGTTCATAAAGATTTCATATTAAAATAGGCTGCATATACCCTGTATTGTATAATGGTTCATCGGGCGAACGCCAAATTTTTTTATAGCGTAAAACTGCGCTGCTCTCGCGAATAAAACAAAAGATATTGGCACAGCACATAAGTCTCAAAGCACGAACACACTAGGTCTTGCCTAAGCTCAAATTATCAGAAAATGTAATAGCAATTGGAGGATTCAATCCGCCAGAGATGCACTCTAATCATTTGATGAGACAACTACAAATTTGATTGGAGGCCGTAATGATATTCGGCGCCTGAGTTATTGAATCAAGCGACACGAGCCATGCATTACTGTTCAGTCGAATAACCATTGAAAGGCGTGTCGTAATAGTATATGGTAGGGTACATGCCGTGGATATGTCAAAATCAAGTGAACTAAACGCAAGTAGCGTATGAATAGATTTTTTTTTTTACAAAAGGCAATTCTGATATACGGGCGCTGCCATTTTGTTCTTTTCACTGCAGTTGAAATGCGAACTATTAAAGCTATTTTTAGAGCCAACTTTTTGTCTGCTCGGTCGTAACTGAAGTCTTTTGAGTTTCTGAATCGTGTAAACACAAGTTAAGATTTATCGACGTTTTTGTCCCTAAGGGAGAAACAGTAATGCTCGACTCGGTTCAGTGGAATTGAGCTGAAAAGTGCATTTTTCCTGCTCGATGGTTGAGGCAAAATGTACTAGTTCCGTATTTCTTCCGACTTCAGTGTTTCTGGATGGCAGAATATCTATGAAATTACACAGTCCAAATTCAGGGCACAGCCAAAAAATCACCGGCCAAAATGAATAAAAGCCATATTTGTCTTCCCAATTAATAGAATCAGTCAACCATTGTAAGACCCAGGTTACAATTTCAAATTCCCGCTGTCAATCGGGGTCACCAGCATACTTTTCTCACGTAGACAGAAGTTGACCAGCCAAGAAATAAAAACAAATAGCAAAAGGCTCAAACCAACGAAGGGAATTGTTTTTTGGCATTTTTTTTACGTCACATTTTTCTAATCAGGCTTCCGTAGATGTGGCCCTAGGCATGCAGCCAAGAACAAACTAAAATGCATTAAACAAAAAAGGGAGAATGTTTTACTTTATTGCGATTGTAGGGAGTCCACATGCGTGTTTTCTTTGTATACTTTTTCTGTCGCTCTGTTCGAATACACGGGGAAATTCTATTACCGTCTTGCTTCATTACTTTGACAATGAGAATGCCTGTTTGATGATTCATGAAAGTTGTTTGTAAGAAAGTCAGATCCGAGAACCGAGCAAAAGATCTATTTTATTGCCAGTCGGCGAGGAAACTTGAGGGAGTAGGTGCCACAAACAAACACAGTCGTTCCGATTATTGCGCTTTTCACCGGATATTGTGCATGTTTTGGACCATTGAGCAGCCTTTCAATCTAAATCCCCCCATCTTTTCAAACCATGACGGGTTTCATGGTTTGGTAGGCAAACAGACAGGCGCCATATTCGCCCACACTGTCTGTAGTCATGATAATCCAGAGGTCTAGGCCTACTCCAAGCTTAAAAGAGTGCAAAGTGCCCAACATTTTTTTTAAAATCTCCATTGTATCTAATGGAATGCGAACTGTGAATGGAGACAAACAAGTTTTTGGTGTATAGCGACTTGACTCATGTCACTCTGCAAAATCGTTGCAAAATATTCCTTTGACATTCGGGGATCACCAATAAGTTTTCGATTTACTTTTTTAAAAGAAAAGCCTAAAGAGTCCGGCCGGAATTTGTCCCGGCCGTGAGAAGGTATTCTGGACTGCCACACCAAATTCCTATTTCGCAACGGTCTCGATACAATTTTTCACGTGAAAGGCATGTAGGGGCCTAATTAGTATTTTATTGTTCAGAAATAAAATACATTTCTCTTTCATTGCAAGGTCGTAACCTAGGAGTAGATAGTTTCGTTTGATGAATTGTATTTCAAGATTTCCCAAAATCTGAAGGGCTCTTATCTCAAATACAACCATCGAAAAGACCATCACGTTGGCTCAATCCACGTCTGTTCCCACGGTGGTAAGGTGTGATGCACCTTTGCCACTTCTTCGCAGCAATGGTCTCATTTGGAAACTTCACATAATGCAACAGATGCAAATTTATAAGCTGTTACAGAAATTTTGAACTAAAACTCCTACAGCTATCCATGCTTTAGACGTGGACTATATCAGACCATTGCTGTATTAATAAGCTGATCGAAATCGATTCATCAAAACAGATTTAAACCCTGCCTTGTGGCGATGTTATTAAGTGTCGACTTATTTACAGCCTTTTGCCTGCGCTCGTGCGTGACGACTATATCCCAATTTGCCACCTTTTATTCCCTTAAATAGAAAGTGCAGGTTTTTGTTATCCACGGGTCAGGGGGTTCATCATAAAGGTTTGAAAATACCAGTCGGGAGTCACACTGGTCAAATCTTTAGCTTCGAGACTTCTGTAAGGTTGCCGTTAGCTCACCCAATGCGTGTCCTGATATGCTCCATTGAGAATTGTTTTCAATGGAAGTTTACCATTTGCTTCAAGGTTTTTTTTGCGGTTGTTTATGCATGCTATCCCGGAAATATCCCCTGGATTTCTGTAACAATTTCTTTTAAAACATATTGGATTATTATTGCTCTCTGCTATATAAAGTCTCCCAGGCAAAAGTAGTTTTATCGTACTTGCGTGAGGTGTGCTATATTTCTTTTGGAATTTGAAAGAAAACAAGTTTGATTGTTATAGTTTGCACTTAATAGTCATGAAAAAGGGGCTAATCTAGCCTATAGACATACCTTCAGAAAATTCTCGACTGTGTTGACTTTTGCGATGTGGGACATGGTGACGTGTTACCCTAGTAAAGGGTGCGGACATGTAAAAAGGCCCAGAATTGCCAAAACACGATTTGTATGCCCTAAAATTCTTTGCTATTAGAGCATTTTAATTGTGGGCCATGAACTTAAAGGTTTGTAATAACAAATGGGTGGAAGCCGTGCACAGGAGTGTGAGCTTGTATTTCTGTGAAATTCGCATGAAATGGGACCCTAAAATTGCTCTATTTTGCAATGGAGCGCATGATTTTTGTTTTTTCAAAATGGCGATGGGCCACTGGACTTCTTTTCGGGGTGCTCATCTTTGGATGGAATTTTCTCCCAAAAGTCATCGGATTATTGAACGAAAATTTAACAGAAAATAAAAGATTATGAAACAAGCTTTAATTTGATGGGTGTCTCAAAGTATACGTTGGAGAGTTGTGAGTGTATTTAAATTTTTTTGGTAGTACGAGTAATTATCACTGAGGTCTAGGGGTCGATTTGCAGGTCTGTACCCCTAGGTTTGCCTCAGGTGCCAAGCGCCCTCAAGAGTGAAAAAGAAGTAAATCCCAGTCAAACTTGCAGTCAATATTTGTTTTGCCCATCGTCAATTTGTCATTACGTCAGAAAGATAAAGATTTGTTCTGTAGGGTTTCCACAACTCTCTCTCTGTAACCGTTGAGGGCGTACTTGTGAGTCCAAACCGTTCCTGTTATCCTGTGTCGTTCAGTTAATGAGTTTACCTTTAAAAGGTTGATTTCAAACTTTTTTGGCCTCCCTGTTTGCAGCTGTATAAATATAAATCATTTTACTTTTTTTCTGAAAATTCTCTCTTCTTTGTAGGGATGGGTATTGTGTTGGTAGCAGTCGCCGCCCAAGATCCCACGTATGTGGCCACTTTCAGCATGGCAGGGGCGTCAGGGAACGCGACCTTCACGCGGGGCACGGGATCAAACACGATCATCCGCCTGAGCATGTCTCTACCGGCCGGAACCTACAACTGGACCGTACGGGAGAAACCGACCGTATACGACCAGCGACCGGTGTGCAGTGAGGTTTTTACCGGGGGAGTCTTGGCCAATGGCGGGGATCTCACGACCGCTCACGGCAAGCTGACTGGTGGAACATCCGTAACAGCAGAATTTGATAATGACCAATTGAAGCTAACTGGTACAGATAGCATTTCTAGTCGATCCCTTGTCTTAGAGGAGACTACATCGGGTACTCTCATCTGTGCCAATATCCTCGACTATGACGTCGATGTAGTGACAGCGGTGGCGAAATTTGTGTCACCATTTGCCGGGACTGTGACGTTTCGACAGCGACAAGGCGAGCCATCGGCACTGACAACTGTCCTGGTAGATCTGTATAGTGTGTTGGACCCACAAGTAGCAACGTACAGTTGGGGTATCCACTCAATCCAAGACTACAATAAGGACATGAACCTTCAGCAACGCTGTAGCAGCACCATGTCGGCCATTTTTAACCCCATTGGAGACCTTTCAAGCAAGTTCGGTGATGTGACAATCAACCCAGCATCTTCAAGTAGAACTCGGTATTTCATCGATACCAACCTACCTTTAGACCAGAGCGCTAATTCGGTACTCGGGAAAAACTTGGTGTTCAAAAACAGCGACGGGACTTTCATTGCCTGTTCGCCTATTCAAGAGTTGCTGCCCAAAGCCGTAAGTGCCGAGATCAGCGTGTCGGGGGTGAATGGGACCCTGGAATTTAGGCAGCGGTCCCCGTACGACCCCACTCACATCTCGGTCAATCTCGCCAAGCTACGAGGATTGGCAGCAGGTTACCACGTGCATGTGCAGCCAGTGACCGGACGGATTAACACGGACGATCAGCCTGCGAGCAATGCCAACGTTGGAGGGCACTATAACCCCTTCGGCGTCATCGCCGGGGATTCCCCGGCTGCAGGAACGGGCACACATGACCAATACGAAGTGGGAGACATCAGCGGGAAATTTGGAAGCCTTTCGAGCCTGGATGCCTTTTCAGGACAGTTCGTCGACTGGAATATGCAACTGTTTGGAAAGTACAGCATAGTCGGACGCTCCATCGTTATCCACAAAGCAGAGGCAAATGCACGGTGGGCCTATGGGAACATCGGTTACCCGACCGATGTGGTAACAGTCAAAGCCGATTTCAGCTCCGTCGTAGCGGGTAAGATGGTTTTCAGGCAGGACCCAAACGATCCGTATTCAGACACGACTGTCTACGTGGAGGTCACACGCGCTGATGGCTCAGATCCCACAGTTAACCACAACTTCCACGTGCACGAAAAACCAATCGGGAATGATTACCTTTCTTCAAGCAGTCGATGCGCCAGCGCAGCAGGACACTTCAACCCGTTCGTAGACTTTAAAAACGGCTACGACCTGTGCGATTTCACCAACCCCTACCGATGCGAAGTGGGTGATCTCTCACAAAAACTGGCAACCATTGACATCTCGAGTTCAATCAGCAGCAGCAGCAGCAAATACTTCTTCACTGATCCCCTCCTCCCCCTGACTGGATACTATTCCGTAGCTGGTCGGTCTGTCGTCATCCACATGCCTGACAGAGCTGCCCCGAGACTAGCATGCGCTGATCTTTACGACGCCCCGTCCATCTCGATACAGACAGACGCCTGGGACGGCGGCCCGGCCATCCGAGGTCCTATAGCCATCTCACAGGCCTCAGAGTTTGACCGAGCCAAAGTCAGCATCGAGCTGTCCCAGCTTGACCAACTGGCCGGAGGATGGCACATCCACGTTCTACCAATCGATCCAGACAACGTCGACGCCCCGTGCAGCGCTGCGTCAGTTCAAGGCCACTACAATCCATTCGGGGCGGATGGTGGTCAAGATGCCCCTGCCACCGGCACCCACGACATGTACGAGGTTGGAGATTTGAGCGGGAAGTTTGGTTCCTTTGCTAGTCTCGACAGCATCACGGCTGTTTACATGGATACCAACCTGGATCTAACAGGACCGCGGAGTGTAGGCGGTAGATCACTCGTTATACATAGGGACGACGCCGCAGGATCCAGAATGGTGTGTTCTGATTTGGACCAGTCGGTGGCTGACGGTGATTTTTCGATTATGGCCCAGGCTACATTCCAGGGCGATGCCGTGACAGGCACCATCACTTTAGTAAGTGTTCTATATTGAAGCTGAACTTTTTCTTCAAAGTCTCCAATCATGTACAAAGTAGTTGAAGCACTATCTAGCTTTTATTTGCGTTTGGAAGACCGGCAAAATGCTAGCCAAATTAAAGGGTGCCACGGATGTTTCCATCGCACAGGATTTTAAGACATCGTGTAGGCGGTAGATGCGGTACTGTAGGTACGGAGGATTTCAAGCATAATCCAGGCCTATATTTATGCATGGCTGGGCAAAAACAATACAAAGTCCAGCCCAAGACCTTGACAAAGTGCATCCTACAAAATCAGTAACGCACTCTTGCCATGTAACCTTAATCCTCCAAATTCCTCCACTTTGGCAAAGAGGATTTTGAAGGATTTAGGGCGGTTAGGGTTAATTCATTTATTCAAACGGTCAATTCTATGAAAGAGACAAAACGTTTGAAGCAATTTATATATGAATTACATGCATGGTTTATTTTGGCTTTGCAAGAAGGGACGGACTGTGTCGTATATTTGTTGCTAAAGTACAGAAATCCCAAATATTTTTCAAAAAGGCCATCAACAGACATAGCTCAAACTGTGCATGATTCACTGTGTCTATCTATTCACCCTTGACGTTACGGTCCATACCTAAGTTTTCACCTTTTCTCCTAGAAACAAATTCGATTTGCGTCCGGTTACCAAGGGGATACGATCGTCCAGGTGGACTTAACTGCCAATGACGTAAGTAATTTCGTTGAATTTCGGATTTCTGGGCGATGCCTAGGGGCCATGGGGCAATTAGCACTTTTGTCTCGTGGATATGCGGCTCTTTCAATAAAAACAATATTGCCTTATAGTTCAGTACTACCAAAGGCAGTGACTAATTTGGCTGTTCCAAGTTTCCGTTCCTCGACGGCCAATGCCTTTGAGACCACACAGATGGTCACATAATAAAATAGCTTGCTTGTAATAACTATGCAATTAGTAGGCCCTACGTGCTTACGGAAGGAAAAAGGAATGTAATAAAATAATCAGCCAAGCGCGTTACCTATGGGTTTTTTGATACGACCGCACAGCTCGTGATAAGCAGTAATTTTATGGATTGTGATTGAGTGATGGTATTTGCCAGGCCGATCCAGCTGGCAAACCCTTTAGTGCAATATCCGATGAAAATGTATCGTTAGCTACGGCAAGTTTGTTTTCAGAGAATCGGAACGAAGCTTAATTATTAACTTGAGCGTAACCACAGATGGTATATTTCAACGTTCAAAATAAATACCTTTACGATTTTTCTTGATTGTGTATTTACACACGTGTGATTTCATTTTTGTTTGTTTGATAAATTTACCTTAGCAAACGCTGTTGATATTCCAGAGGTCGGTAAACTTTGTATATCTATTTGGTATCTCAACTATAGTTCTAGAGGTAATACCAATAATTATATTTGTATGTGTTAGAGAAGATGAGATATGTATTTGTCCCAATATTTGTTTCTTTTTGTACTCATGCTTCTTTCAACAGAGAGACTCTATTCATTCACGTGCTTACTCGATGGATTTATTTCCTATGCGTTGACAAACTTAACAAATTTAACATCCATCGTTTATTTGGTAACAGTCCTATATTTTATAATCAAAAGTGGATTTAAGAAATGCATAAAATTCGTCTTTTTCTTCTTAGGATAACATTGAGTATGTACTGGAGATTCCCAAAACGACGTGTGACGATGACGACATCTTTAACCCGTACCAGATTTCCGTTCCCACGGTAAGAGAGTCATTTCCAAAGCGAGGAAAAGTTATAACCATTTCTTGCAGACAAAATGAAGAAAATGAAGAAAATCAATATCGTTTAACAAGAGAACGGCAGTACAAGACGATTATCTACGATTTGTTGTTATATGAAGGTGGCATTGGACATTGCCCTTTTTTTCTTAACTTTTTTCAACTGTCCAACAATCAAAAGCACGCATCAAGCGTTGCACTTTTCTCTGAAAACATTCTTCCTCCCGTCAAGGGATATTCCAAACAATAAATTTAAGACCGAGTAGACGTCATAGATGTTGGTGTTTGACATTATTTTCGTTTCAAGCTCGAGGTTTTCCCAACATGGGAAAGACAACGATTCATACATGCCTCATTTGTCACTATTCATATTTGATTCACTTGAGCTTAGGCCTAACTTCTTAACATTGATGTCAATGTTTAAAAGACGACATTTTTCTTTTCCAAAATTGGTTTTCCGGTTGCCTGCATTGTTTACGGTAGTTTCACAATCCAAAAATATCGTAAAATATCGATAATATTTTAAAATAAAAAAATTATCCTTTATGCGTAATTTTGCAGGACCAGTGCTCCGTAAGTCGCATGAGACTCTGTTCTGTCGGGGATCTCAGATCAAAACACGGTATGGTGTACAGCAACCAGCGAGTCTTCATGACCGATATTAACCTGCCTCTCTACGGATTAAACTCGGGTAAGTTTCCTGCTCTGAATTATGTCTTAGTGCGGAAACCTGTAAATCCACGCCGGCAGCGCATGAGTCATTGTTCGGAGATTTGTAGGGACTTAAATATGTGTGTGTGAGTACAAACACGATGGCTATATTGCACTGCTGCCAAATACATGCACAATGTTATCTGAAATGTATTGACAGTACAAATTAATGTACAACATTATCATCGTATTGATCTCAGCTTCATTATAAAATGTTTAAGGTTATGCCATTAATCGGCGGAATTTTCTAAGTGCTGTCCACGAGTTTATCCGTGTACAGGGTGATTCACAATGGTCTGGACCCACATTAAAGAAAATAGTAAAAAATATATAGCAATGATCAAAACAAGTGCAAATGAGATACATGTTTATAGGCTGTTATTTTGGACATATTTGGTGAATGTTTCGTGTATATCCATTGTACCATTTTGAAGAAAAGCGCAGGCAAAGAACACACGCTAAAAAAAACCCACTCGACCACGGTGACACGGTTCAGCAAAGTTTAAAAATCAAGTTCTGATGTGAAACTAGCAGTATAACAAATACAAAAACCTAGTCATGGTGAATGACTCACTTGAAGTTATTGACACATTTAAAAAGGCAAAACTGACTCCGTGTGCAGACTGGAAAATGAGCCACTTCAATGAAAATGGCATAACTCCTCACCACCGCCACTAACTTGAACAGTTCAAACTTCCTGTGCAAGTCAAGGTAATAACCATTCATATGAAACACTCAGTTTTTTTCTCAATATACTCAATTTGCCACACCAAAAATGGTGAACTTGGGTCCAGATCATTATGGTATAAATGTTTGGTAAATTCAACCAAACCAACCGATCCCAGCAAAGAGGTAAGACTGCACCAGCAGTAAGCATGAGGTCGTGGGTTCGAGTCCCACCCGAGTAACTTTTGAACTTGTCTCGTAAATTTTTTAACAACACTGAGTACAGAGCACGTTCTTGTAAAATTAGTCACAAAAATAGTAAATCATTCCATTCGCGATCTCCTCGGAATTCAAGGCACGATTTCCTAGGTACAGTAAAATACTTAGCAAAAATGTCAATTCATTTGGAAACCGAGTGCATGAGGGCACGTTTTTTTGGAGAGAGTTTCTAAAGAAAAGGTCCACAGTGTCCTCCAGTGGCATAGCATTGACAGCCTCGCCTCGACTTTATACTTGGAATCATCCATGATCTCTTTCGTTATTTTCGACAGTGATTGGTCGTAATCTAAGAATCTCGACATCGACAGCGGACGGAGGCAAGTCTTGCTCAACGATCATACCCGATGGAGCTTCCGGGCGGAAAATTAACCACGTGTACCCAGCAACCACGGCATTTGATGCGTAGGTGTTTAAATACCACTAATTTCTAAATAACATCGGGGACAAGACTTGTTAAAAGAATAAATGTGTTTAAAATTAAATTTAACATAAAACTAAATACTTTTAACATAGGTGTATTTTTTTTATTGGTTTGTAGACTATATTTCGTGTTTGATTCATAAATTGAAAGTTACAAGGACCTGACGTATTGATCCCAACATAGTGTTGAACCTCCCCTGTTTTTATAGGATTATTATCAATTGAAGCAAATGGGTTTTCTGACCAATGACCATGATTTCTTAGGATTTGCCGATTTTATCTTGTTTTTTATTTGAACATTTTGTCGAATTCTGATCAAGGAATCCTCGTTTGAACTCTTTCAGGTATGGTTTCCAGACGACTGTGGCCAACGCCATTGCCAGCGGCAATCGATGGCAAGTTGTGCCGTCACAGGAGCCCGGTGAATCAACGGAATTCCCGGGCTGTAGCTCAGTCGATTTTTGGGTCATAGGTGAGTACACATTTTCGGTGAAACCGAAATTATTAACGAAAACAGACACCTCAAGTACAGAGAAATAGAGGCTCATGCTTTGGTCGAAATTCAGTTAGCCGACATCACGTGAGAGAATATCTCTTCTGAAGTTCTACTTGTTTTATGTCTCCCTTTTTCCAGGTCCAAATGTTGAGAACTTGGTGACGGCGTTTTCCGAGGCCGTCAAAGCAGGCAGCCTCGATTCTTACAATCCTACCGATCAGTGTTCAGAAGGTATGGCTTTTAAAAACCACGAAAAATCCATTGTGGATCCCTAGATAAAAGAGACTTTCCCGTGATTTTATTTAGCCCAAAATTTGGCCTAAATGTGGACAGAATAGCATTGTTTCTCCCTCCTCCTGGAAATAGAACGGCTGGTCTGGAGAATCCGAGTGCACTTGAAGTACAAGTTGTTGGCAAAGTCTAGGCCTTCATGTACAAATATATCGGATTTAACCAAACTATAGCTATTTTAAGGTTGAACAAAGACATTGACTGGAGCGGGGTTTGAACCTGCATACGACCTCCGGATTACCGTTCCGGTGCTCTACCAACTGAGCTATCCAGCTAGGTTGCTGGCTCCCCATTTAGTCGGTGTCTTTCGTTCAAGAGGCGCCAGACAGAAACCATAAACCGGTATTGCCATGTAGCCAGGGATCGCACCCAAAGTCACGATGCTAGCAACATTAGCAATGCTGCAAACCCGGGAAATAGCAAACAGGGATCACTCAGAGAGGATGTACGGTTTTGTATTACAGATCTTCAAAGAAACCACGTAGAGAAACTGACTAGGTTCATTATAAACTATAACTAGACATATCTCAACATAGGCATATTTAACCTTTCCGTTTAGGAACATTAGATCCATGACCTTTTCTGGTCGGCTCATATCTTGGCTCGTGAGTGCTATAATCCGTACCGAAGGCGATGCAGACTTTTTTTTCTAATTCTGAAACTTTCGACCGTCTCGACACAAAATCCGAGATAATCTGAAGCGGAGACAAAACAGGGTGTGTGCGATAACTTATCGCAGCTGACGCACTTCGGCGACTTTCGCAATTTGAGATAAGACTGCTTTCAAATAGCATGAAACGAATTTTCAGTGTGAACACTTTAGAAACGCCGACAGCGTTTACGTAGAAACGGAAAAAAGGTGAACGTTTAAGTAACGGACTAATATAAAAAAAACCGTGACATTGTACCCCAAAATGTCCACATTTCGGCAAACCCCCTTTTCACTTAATAATAAATCCATATGAATATTAAATTGTTTTAGAAGACTGCTGCACGATACCATGCTTCAGACAAATTACTGACAATTGTACATGTGACTATTTCGTCTCTAACAATCAAAATCAAAACACGAATTCGTATATTTAACTTCTTTTTTATGTTTAAGTTGGATTAATCCCGTCAGATGTGTTTTCAAACTCCCTCTGAATGCATCCTTTATAGTCCTTTGAAACGGAGTGATGAGTCATTTTGCCAAACATTACCACTTTTTTTGTTTGTCATTTTTGTCAGGATCGGGCGTCAGTCACGTGATCCCTTCGGGATTTATGATCCTTTTGTCAACCATCTTGGGACTATTCGTCATCGTCCCTCTACAACGTGATGTCTGAGCCACAACTTCCTGATCAATAAAAAGTCAGCTATATCTTGAAATGTTAAGAAAAAATTGTAAAATGTATAACCTTTCATGTTTCAATTTTTGAAAAGAATTTGTTGCAAACTGACGCTACTTTAGCGGTTGTGTACAAAGTCTATGGAGAGTCAAGAAAATTCAGTTATTGGTGAGTCAGTATTTCCTAACAAAATTGGAAATGTTTCTCAGTCCCAGATTCATGTCTTATCATCATTTTTGTAAAGACTGACCTTCATTGAGATGATACATGACAAAAAACAGCGTCAGGTTGCAACATTCTTTCCCAATTTTTCGTTTCCATTTTTCCTTGATTTTGTCCCCTATATCCTATACAGCTGAAAAATGTGGTCCTGTCTCGCAAAAACGGCCGGGTATTGCATTTGCACAATGAACGAAAATTATTGTGTACAATTGGGAAACGGGAAAATCTACTTCTTTTGGAGACTGTATTTTTATGTTGTATTCAAAATTGTATTTTATATCAATAATATTGGGCAAATGAATTAAGGTGATAACATTATTGAGTTTCACCAAGGTAATTTTATATTGCTTAAATACTGCGGTATAGGGTGAGTCAAAAAAAGAGGAAACCCAAATGGCAGGACAATTTTCTTAATCAAGTTCTGCATGTAGCACTTTCAAAATGTAGGATATGAAAGCCCAATTAATAAGCTTTCGTTTAGTACAAGAATCATTCAAATCACTGTACTTTACAAGTTACAGAATTTGGAACACACACATGTGATTTGTTTTCGTTTTGCTGAAAGAACACTTGCCTTTTTGTGATCAAAATTCCGTAACTCGAAAAGTACATGAGTGATTTCAATGATGCTTGTACTTAAAGCTTATTAATTGGGATTTCACATCCTAAATTTTGAAAGTGCTACATGCAGAACTTCATTCGATAATTAGTCCTGCCATTTGGCTTTCCTTTACTTGACTCGCTCTGTAAATTCGGGAAACGGGAAAATGTTATTTTTGGGAAACTGTATTTTTAAGATCTATTGGGCAAATGAATGAAGGGTGATATTCCTGAATTTCATCGTCATTTTATATTGCTTAAATACTGTATAGGCCCTTCTTGGTGGTGTCTGCATGAGAGAATGTGAGAACTCACAAACTTGCTCGATGGGACTCAACCATTACAGCGAAACGCCGTTATAACGAACGCCGCTATAACGAACATCCCATTTGGCTCGTGAAATAGTAAATTCTATTATGACGCACAATCACTATAACGAACGACCAATATAATGAATATTTTTATGGATCCCATGATGTTCGTTATAACAGCGTTCTACTGTACTTCTACGAAGGAGATCAGGTAGCCAATTTATGATTTCATTTTGTTTGTATGAACTTGTGTGTTAGTTAGTTTGTTTGTTTTTACTTTCTGCGTCCTACAACTTGTCAGAAATTGACAAGCTTACCCAGCGCCATTTTACACTTTGATTTTTAAGATTCAAAATGGCCATTTTGAACCCAACGTGATTATAAAATGAGCGTTTCAAGGATGAAAAAAGTAGGTAATGTAACAAAACGTTTTGTTTAATGTTGTGTATTTTGAGGGAAAAAGGTGCAAATTTAGACGTTTCTAAGCTAAAAGCTGCAAAATAACCAGAGTTATTTATCTGACAAGAATGTTGCTTTAATCTCTTTTATTAACCCATGCAAACAATTATTTAAATCACCAATAGTATATCAATCTTAACTTAATAATATTCCACGAAATATAACCTATATTCTCGAGTTTCTAAGGGAGGTTTTTCTAAGACTTATTTGTAAATTTTGATATATATCTTTATTGTAATTTATGCATCAAATTTACATTAACGATAAAGGCAATAATGGCAGACTTTTTATATGAATGTAATATGTTTTAATAACAAAAACAACAATATGATTTTTTCCATTTATACTGAGAACAGTAGTTTTAACATAGCACTTGGTTGTTAATAGGCTAGTAAAAATTATGTAGGGTAATTTTAATAAAGGTTTTTCATGAGTTTTACAATGTTTCAGTGTACACAAATTTTTTTTTGTTTTTGTTTACATACATGCATGGAATTACATGTGAACCAAAGATTGCATCAAAATGTTACATGTTACAATTTTAAGACCCAAGATGAATCAATAAATATAGCATTCAAACAATACATGATTTACATAAATGAGAGACAAACAAATTGCCAAAGTGAGTAAAAAAAAAGGAAATTAATGCACTGAAAAAAATTTAATCGCAAAATGGTACAGCATGCTTGTAAAATATGCAATTAACCAAAAATTGATAACATGGGCGCATTTCTGAATACATTTGATGTTTAAATTTTGATGTTTGTGAGTCGGGTTGGCGTAGCTGTATTATCCTCACCTTCCACCGCTGTGACACGGGTTCGAATCCGACCTGGGTTCGAATCCTACCCGGGATTGGGTTTTCAGTCCCTACTTGATTCCGTGGGTTTCCCCCCAGAATATTCTTCTGGGGTTTCCCCCCACCTAAAAAAAAGTGATTTCTTCAAATTGTCTTCTCTCTACAGGTTTCTTCAGGCTTGCGAGCTACAGTGCCCAGGGCGCTTTTGAGGAATGGAATCCCTTAGTTTCATTACCAGAAAATAAAAAAATAATAATCAAATGAATATATGTACATTCAGATTTTATTAAATACCTTTGATAAATTACTGTTTTATTTTTTATTGCCTCTAATCACTTTGTCACCTTATTAAAAAACTGTTCTTTGATTATAAGAAATATAAAGGTTGTTCAGCTGTATACGAAACAAGAACCACAAGTTCAAACAACAAGACCCTACCGTCTTCAAACATTTAAAATGAGGCATTTCTTGTCTTGCTATCTGCGAACGATTTTTTTAAATTGCATTTTAACCACAGTTTATGTTTTGTCATGCTACATTCTCACCTTTTCTTCAGAGTTTTTCAAAGCCATGCACTATATTTCTAACATTCTACAGTTGGTAAACGGCAATTCCATGGGTATACAAACCTCTATGCTAAAGCTATCAATTCGCAGCTTATTATCTGTATTTTTTATTGAAATGTAGTTTTGTTTTCTAACAATGTTCAACAGTTCAGCTGTTAACTTTCATTTTTAACAGAAATAGTAGTTGTTAAGTACACAAAAAAAGCAATTTATCTGAGTATGTCCGACACTGTGCTGTTTTGAGCCAATTTCTACTACAGCAAAAGTTGGATGAATTCTTTTTTAAATCATTGTAGTAACTAACTGATATGTTTTTTTTTCACAGAATTAAAAGCTACTTTATGATCATAACTTTTCTTATGCACACTGTTGAGTTGTCCAAAATGTACATGTATGTCTGACAACTTGCCGTGGAACTGCCCGAAATAATGTATTATTACACCTTATTTGACCCTTCTGTTGGACTTGTTTCTCATAAAAGAGTTTTGTTTAACTTCTGTGTTGCTTAGAAATCAGTAAGAATTAGGACTTGGCATTGCGTACAGTCTATAAAAGAGTTTTGCTTGAGTTTCTTATTTTCCAAACCGTTAATTAAGCATCATGCAGAAAAACAAGAACTACTAATAAGACCAGCACTCAAGTTACCAAAAGCTAGTCTGCATTTGCGGATGCTCTTTCTCGGTGAGGCTGTACTGTGGTTACTGCGGTATCCACCTCCATGCCATCTCCGTTGACTCTTTCATTAGCTGCCTCCTCTTGGTCATCAGATTCCTCGTCTTCATCATCCTCCCCGGGCGGGTTGACAATCTTGTCCAACTCTTCCAGCAACAGCTTCTCGATCTTGAACGGGGCGTCCTTCCACTTCTTAAAGATGCGGTTGGGCCCCTTCTCCATCTTAAAGACGAAGTATTTTGGGGAGATGAGGTTGACCACACAGCCTTTATACAGCATCTGGTGCCCCCAATCCTGCGTGCACTTTTTCTCCTTGTTGTCGCACATGATCCGCTTGCGGAGTTCCATGTCCGCGCAGACGCTCTTGCTGGGTAAGTCGATGAATCTGCAGCGGTCCTCGAAGGTGTCATTCAAGACGACGTGATGGGCATTCTCAATGCACTTGATGTCATCCACGGTACAAGCCTCAGCGCCGCACCTGCGGCAGATCAGCCGCACCTTCATCAGTTTCTTGTTGTGCTTCAGCAGCCGGGAGTTGAACTTCTTCAGTTTCCGCTCAAGCTTGTTATTCTTCTGAATTTCGGCAATCTGTCACAAATAAAAATTCCCATGAAAATGTTGAACCCTTCATGTTACCAAATTTCAATAAGCTGAAGGCTAAATCTCAGACCAATACTGACTTTAAAAGCCAAGTAAGTAAGTTGAGAATTCCGACTTTTCTTAGAAAGTGATTTTGTCATAGATGCCTCCATCTCTAAAATCTTCTTTTTACCTGTGCCAGGAAATCATCTTCCCTCATCTTCTGGAGGTTCTGGGTCGCTTCAAACATGATCTTCTCACGGATTTGGTTCATGAACTCTTTCTCGTGTAGCTTGAGCTCTTCTGACACTATCAGGTAGAACTTTCCGTCCTTGGCTCTGTTTCTCCCTGTTTCAAGAAAAACCAAACCAATCACATACAGTGAGCAAAACAACAAGAAGTACCAACACTAAAAAAAAAAGGCATTTCAGCTTGTTGTTTTCCTTGTGTTATCTTCTACGTATAATATGCTGGTTTCTTGAACAGGCACTCAATTTTGGCTGTTTTGCAGGCACTTAAAATGTTTGAAAAAGGCTTGGAGCATCCTATTTGGCTGTTCATTGTGGCAACTGTAGACACATTTTGGTGTATGGTTGGACTACAAAGTTTGTTGTGACTGTTGACCGTTTTCCAGCTGTTTTAGGTAAAGTGATAAAAATTTGGACAGATGACAAACAATTCCTTTATTGCTTGACCGACCTTGAGCCTGCACTCTGCCGATGTCATTGGAGATGTAGTTGTAGCGTATGACAACGTTGCACTGTTGAATGTCCAAGCCCTCTTCGGCCACCGATGTAGCCACAATCAGCTGATGGTCTCCATCCTTGAACAAGCTCAAGAGCTCCGTTTGCTGATTCTGGGTCATTCCTGTAAACAAAGTTGTCAGAATTTTTCAGGATTTTCAGTCTCAGATTTAAGCCTGCATGCATGCAGATGCATACATCTTGAGGTTATATGAGCTCCCGTAAAGACACATTAGCATCTGTTTTTGTTTGTGTTCTTTTAGAATGCAAAGGCAGTCTAAGTGAACTGAATACAATTTAAAAACAGTACAAAAACAGCTTTAAGAGTTTCTGATAATGTAAGAAGGACAAGTGTATTTAGGAGAATGCTATTCCCAATTATATGGTGGATTATTGAAAACCTATATTCTTGAGACCGCTACATGGTCATATGACTAAAGCTTTTCTGAGCAATCCGTCCTCAGCTTTGATTGGTGAAAAACTTCCTACCTGTACCGCCACATCCAATCAGCCGGCCCGGTTTGAGGAACATAAGGTCTGGGGTTTCGTCAATCCAGGCCAGCAGTGCCTCGGTAGCTGCTCGAGTCCTGCAGAAGAGAATCCCCCTCGAGTTCTCTTGCCCTGGCCCCGCAAGTGCTTCAATCAGCGTCTTGGACAAGCAGTCAAGCATAGGGTTCTTGTTGTGTCTCATGCTTTGGAGAAGCTCTTCCTTTTCTGTTGAAATTCAACAATTAAGAAGATTTTAATAAGCTGGAAAGCGGAAAACATTTAAATTTCAAAGTAGTACCGGTAGTTGCAAAAATCAACTGTAGGCCTAGGAGAGTGGTGGCGGGGGTAAATTTTATATACTTCTCTGAAACTTCCAGAAAGAAACGAATCAACACTAGGTTACCAAAAATCAGTTTTGCAGTTGTTTGTACCTTTTCATATTCTAGCTTCCCAAAATGCTTGAATGCACTCTTTAAAATGTTGAATGTACAATGCCTTCCCATATGAGGAACACATGATTGTGATGAGCAAATGGTTCCCAAATGTTTGTGAACAACGATCATATTTTGATTTTTTTGAATTATGCGTTGAGACAATGATTGGTATTCCCTAAAAGTTAGACTCAGATGCCTCATTATACATGCTGTGATACCAGAGATTATCAGTAAAGGATTAGTTGGTTTTTCACCTTTGAACAAATCCACCAGCTGCTGCTCAAAGGAATTGACAGCTCTGTCTTGGTCCTCGTGACGCATGAGGTACTTCTGGAGATGATCCACAGCGTCTTGGATGCGGGCGTCACGGTTGATGTACAGGCTGTTGTTGTACTCCTGGAATAATAAGAAACAAATGCTTGAAATCCTATCTAAAATCTGTGAATTTTCTTTCAAAATCTTCTTTTCTTTTCAAAATCTTGTAATGACTGAAGAAGGGTTCCAAAAAACCTGAAGAAACCCAAATTGAAAAGATCAGGGTATTGAGTTTTAGGAATCGCTTGCAGAAATAGTCTGTTATTTTCCTCATGGGCTGAGAAAAGAGGGACTTCTTCAAGAAAAGCTTATTATTAAGTTATGGTGCCATTAACTTTTGTTGTTTTACTTCCTGAATTTCATGAGTATTCTAGTCATTATAAAAGGTGAAACTATATTGCATTTTCGGATTGATGGATATAAAATTAAAATTGAAAAAAAATAATTGATTCAAATGTATTTACTTTCAAAAAATAACAAACAGATGTATCATATATCTGAGTTTGAAACCTTCTCCGAAGCTGTTCCTACCTTCAAATGGTCGACACATGTCACCAGTTGTAGGCGCACGCTATTATTCTCAACCTCCCCGGCAATGTACTTATGCATGCGGACCAGCCACTGCTCGTAAACCTGAGTACCACGGCTCGGTGGACATTTCAAATCGTGGCTTTCCTTGCGGATGATCTCCCCACCTGGTATAAAATTGAGGCAAAAATTACTCGAGGCCAAGACGATATTGTCAAAGAAGAGTGCAAAAGGTTGCGTTGTTTTTGTTCTTATATCATTATGACAGAGTTTTGAATCCTCAGAACCGAATAGGCTAAGGGATAACCAAATTTGTGTCCCCAAGCAAGACACATTGCCACAATTGCTTCTTTCAGAGCAATAGAAAATGGGAATGTGCCACAGTTTAGAACGTAACTGAAAGTTCATGGGGTCTACAGGAGAAGACACTCATACATAGGCAGTGACAGATCCAGGGGTCCCCCCCCCCCCCCCCCCCCCCGCAAAGACAAAAATTGTCTCAAACTTGGGCCATTTGTCACAACCTCAGCCCAGCCCCCACCAGCACTAAACTCCCTGGATCTGCCATTGATAGGATTGATTTGATTGATTCTGTAAAAATCTGCTGATCAGAGATAAAAACAGATTATTTTTATCCTTCACAATTGCCCTACTCCTCTTCATTTTTATTAACCTGCCTTTCTGATCCTTTGCATGCATTTTCAGTGCCTTTTTTATTCCACCTTAGACGAAGTTTCAAAACAAATACTTGTTATGTAAACAGTTACCAGGTGTTTTGGAGATGAAGTCTTCAATCTGGGCCATGATTGGTTCAATGACTTTCTTGAAGTGGTCGTTCTTCCGTCCTGGTACAGGTTTGATCACTGTAATTAATCAATCAAAATCATCAATTCAAAATTAGAAACATGAGATCAATTTCACAATAAATTTGCATTAAATTACAACTGTACTTTTCCGATCGACAGTGGTGAAGCGAGAAATTTTCGATGGTGGCCGTGTTGATGGTTTCAACCATGTCCAAAGACATGCAAGCAGGCCGCGTGTCGATCAATGTGCAGCTCTACGCATCCTTCCCCTACCCCCCCCCCCCCCCTTTTTGGCTGGTGGGGGTGGGCGGGGGGTTTCAACCCCCAAATCCTCCTGTTGATACACTACGGCCCATCGATACGCATTTACAATGGGAAAGATTGAACAGTATCTTCCTTTAAGTTGTAACAGGAAGAGTGCAATCTTTTGCCATGTAGGGAATAGCCACATCCCCATCCACGTGGTCTGTGCATGTATATAGTCTGGAAACAACCTACTTTCTGTAGGCTTGTCTCTCGTTCTCTTCAATTCTTCCAAGTTTTGCGGATCCTGCACCGTACACAGCTTCTCAGCGTCCAGGTTGGCGCAGAGGGTCAGGATGTGCGTCTGGGCCTTGTACCTGGACTTGGCTTTGCCAACACCCATTGAGGCCGTCAGGCCAAGAATCTAATTAAAACAAGAATGAGCACCGAATAATACATACTAATTAAGTGCCCCCCTCAAAACACCTCAGCTAAACACAATATGGTAATGAGGGTCAGACAGTAGATTTTTGGGCGTGGCAAACGTATTCCTCATATCTTACAAGTTCTTTACATGTTATCGAGAGAAAATGATGAAAAATGCAAGATTTTTAACCTGTGGTCTCTCCTTGTCTGGAGCCGACAACTTGAGAGTGCAGTATTCCGCCATGATTTCATTGTAGGGATCTCCTTTCTGTCAAATAAAAACAAAAGAAATTTTGTTGGACACTTGATTTAGGTCAATCAGTTTTGGCCAAATATGCACAAGAGCGCGGGCATTTTTACACCCTTTGGGTGAGTTTCCGTTAGATTTTGTTCAAGTATTAAAATAACAATTTACATTAATTTTCATTTTCAGTTACGATAAAGGCATCCAAGTGTGTTTGTGTTTGCATGACTGTCTCACTGAACAAAGAAGGAAGAAGATTATTTAACTGCGGGCCAATCAGACAAAAAAAAATGTGACTCTAAGCTGGCTAAGCTTGCTAAGTGGCTCAAGTTTTGCTCGGTTGCACATATTGATATGACACCATTTTATCATGTTTTCACCTACCTGGCAGTGGTGGCACTCATCCAAGATAAGCAGGCCAATCTTGGAGAGCTCCATGCGATCGTTGTCATCTTTGCCTCCCTGCAACGAATTGACCAAGATCTGGGCTGTCATGACCAAGACGTCCTTCTTCTCCAAGAGGTCGGTCAGCGAACCGATGTGTCCCATCTCTCCGCTTAGACCCATGATGCGTTTGCCGTCAATGTACTTCTTGAAAACATCACACTGCTGCTTGACAAGAGGCACCTAGTAAAGACAATCAATCAAAGGAAAAGAAACACTCTGTTAAATTGTAAGAATAATTGAAATATCCTGTTGGCATTTCTTTGAGATTTTTTATTAACATCAGATGTATATTTATTGCCCAGGATGCAAAACCCACATTTATCAAAACTTTGTTGCAGAACACAACATAAGCTTGGACTGGAGTAATTCACACTTAGTTGAGTCTCAACACATTCTGGGTTTTCAGTTACTTGTTGGCTCATCTGATTGGCTGAAAGTGTTTTATGCAAATTAGGATTCCCCAACTTTCAGCCAATGAGAGTCTTCATTGCTAGCACTATTAATGTTTTGTGTGCTTAGTGTGAAAGCCTGAAACTGTTTCACTTGATATAATGGTATAGCATATGTCATTTAGATAAAGAAACATATAATATAAAGTGACATATATATATATATTGCTATGTTGTCTCATAATAGAGTTTATACGGAATACCAAACATTCTGGCTTTCTTGAGTAATGCATATAACTTAAAAAGAAAAACCTCAAAGTAATAAGATTTCATATAAAAAAAACCCATTACCTTGTTGACGATGAATATGACTTTATTGGAGCCGTTGGCCACAATGTTTGGCACTGTGCCATTCCCGGTCCGCGGTCCCACCCCAGGTTCCTGGTCCAGGACGGCTTTGATCAGTCTGGCCGCGACGACAGTCTTGCCCGAGCCGGTAGGGGCTACTATGACTGAGTTCTTGCCTTGCAATGCTGGAGTGACCAGCTCTTTCTGATAGCCGCGGAGTACTATGGGAACAGGGTCTGGTTGCTCCTCTTCGTCGTTTTCTGGAGTGTTGTCATCATTGTCGTCTTCCTCTGCTTCTGCTGCTTCAGGTACAACATTATTTCCCTACGACAGAGGACAGGTAGCAAATGAAACAAAATCAGAGTCAACAGAAGGGTAAATTGGCAAAAATCCTGATCCTTTGGTAATGTTTGCAGTGTTTCACAGCATTATGAGCATTTTGAAAACTATGATTACCTGTGACGGCACCTCTTTTACCGATGTGAGACTTTTCTTCTCTTGGGAAGTATTGAGGTTCACATCATTTGATTGCAGAGGCAAACCGGGGGAATCGGTTGAAGAGGCTAGGGTGGGCTCCCCTGAGGTTGGTTCCTGTGTTGCTGTACTTGATAAGGACTCACATCCACTGGCATTATCTTCTACGGGGGTGCTCTCCCCATAAGCAACGGGTTGATCAACCATGGTATCTGTGTTGACATCACTGCAGTCACAGGCTTTGGCTGCTACTTTTTCACAAGTGTCCAGTTCATCTAAATTGGTGATGAAAAAAAAACCAATAAGAAATGCACGATCATAGGAAAATGCTAAAAATTGTGCACGCCCCCTCCTTCCTTTTCAGTCAGTTGCCACAGACTCCCCAATATGTAGCCTGCCCCTTTCCCCTTGTGCACCCCTTTTAGAATATTGGAAAGATAAAAGTGAGCTTTTTATGCAGTATTAGGTTTTGGCCTTCACCGACTTCCACTCCATAAAGCTTCCCTCCCCCTGTACAAAATGAACCTCAGTTATTCCACTGTGCAGGCTGCAGTTACCTGTGCAGAAATTGTGGAGAAGGTTTGATTATGGAAAACAGTTCTTCCATCTAGAAAGTTATTACCTGCCCCGCTTATCACGTTGGACATCTCATCAGCAAGCTTGCCATTGCCATTTTCACGGAGACCGTCTATGAAGTTACGAATGCTGTCCAGCCCCTTGAAGAACAGGATATTAATGAGCAACATGGCACCACAATAACGACCGTCATTGGCAGACACCTGCTGGATTTTCCCTCTCTCTCCATCGCTGAGGTCTCCCATGATGCGGGGAATGATGCTTGATGGGACGATTACATCGCAAAGGCTCACATAGAATGCTCGAAGCAAGTGTTTAATGTAGGCTCTGCACTCTGACTCCTTAACAGCTTTGGGAACGCCCTCAATGAAGTCAGCCAGGTATCTGAATGTTGCTGTTTAGTAAATAAAAAGAAACACCACAGCATAATCATTTTTTGTATCCATTGTTAAATAAATTGTTAAAATTAGTTTTCAGAGTTGCAGTCAACAGTGAGGTGTGAGTAGTTACAAACATTCTAATAAAAATGGACATGCCCCCTAGCTCCCCAATTTACAATCTTGAATTGCGCAGAAACAATATACCGGTTGCCTTCAGTACCCCCTTGAAAAATTAGTGCACTCCCAGGTGCCCCCTACCCTACAAGTTTAAAGCCGGAGTCCATCATTTGCAGCTATCCCAAAAAGTAACTGGCATAATTATTGTTGGAAAACATACTGGTTGAAAGATAGTAAGGGTACTAAACTCCCTGTGAAATTATTCTTTCTGGCAAGCTCTCATTTTGAAGAAATCAATGAAAGAAGGCATTTCTAATGGTGCGTCTTAAGAAGCACCGTAGGAAAATTTAAATTAGTAGTTCGTTTTGTTATTCGGCGCAGCACGCGCAAGCATTGGCACGACGCACAGGCGCACGCGGTTGCTATAATTCGTCGGATCAGTGCGCGACATCGCGTAAAGCTGCAATTCAAAACAATTCAAAACATGATTTAGCAACTTTTGATTTGAAATTGAGATCCTAGAATGCTGTTTTTCTCGGAATATACAGCTGAAGCTGAGCTGAAACTTCATCAGGTTAGTTGTTCAGTATCCTTCATTAGATTTTGAACACTTTTGTTGCTTCAAACGAACAAAATGCACAAATTACAAATGATGTCTTTAACACTAGTTACGCCACTGCATTGAGATTGAATTAAGAATCCTAAAACAATGCAACTATTGTTATTGGATAATAAGATGAATCATGAAATAATACTGAAAATGAGAAATCTTACGTGTTGACTCTCCCATGGCTTCCAGAGAACTAAGGAAAGCAGAATATGTGCCTTTCGTGTTTTTTTCACCGAGATGGTCAAGGAGCTCATTCACATCCTTAAATTTTAACACATCTGAAGAAAAAAAAAAGGATTATTTTGGTGAAACTTTATTCTTAGCCTTGAATTATGTACTTAATTTTGATTAAGGATACGCACATTTTCTTTTTACATCATCTATTTTTATGAGATTTGTAATGCCAAAATTTAATGTAGGAAGATTAATACTAACAGTGACACAAAAAAACTACAGAAAACTTACCTTGACCACCAAGGCCGTGACTGACTAGATTGGCAAGAAATTCTGAATTTTCCCCCAAATTCAGATTTTTCACCAAGAAATCTCGAAAAACCACCGTGATCAGCTGTAATCTGGGATCACCGTCATCTTGACCATCGGTTTCCATATTCTCAACTCCAGCCATTTTGCTCCAAGAAAGTTTCGATGTTTGACGTTCGCGCAATAAACAACTGACTGAGGAACAACATACACAGTATACGAAATTTATATGAGCTGCCGACCCTGGGAATTCCCCCGATGAGAAATACCTTTACGTCATCATGCCGAAATACTTAACCGACGGCTATTTCCGCAAGTAGTTCAACAATGGACTTGGGTTGTGATTTTTATGAAAACAAGGGCATTTTGTGTCCAGCATTGGGTATAGTATTAACAATACCAGCATTTTTATCGAAAACAGATCGAGTGTTGGGATTCAACTCCGGGCAAAGATGTATTTTCCACTTTGAACAAAATTTCATGATGTTTGATACATAAAACAGTAACTGTGATGTCATGGGGCTTCACGTCTGGCAATTGCGCAATACGCAGGTGCAGTGTGATTGCGCCAAAGCTGATTATGAAAGAGGCTAGATCTGTAGATAGGAACGTCAAAGCGGCTAAATTAAGCGGTCCCTAGAGTACTTAATCGAGGTTAGTAAATAGGGGATTTCCTGTCTTAAAATGGTGCATGTATTGCGAAGTTCTATGTAGCAGGTTATTTGTTGGTGTGTGGATGTTGCTACACTGCGGATTTTCCCCGGAAAGAAGTTGTGTTCTGTAAAGTTCTATCATCTCAATCAATGAAGGTCAGTCATTCTCATTTGCAAAAATGATGAATGTGACAAAGATTTTAAATTTTGTTAGGAAATACTTCGAACATTTTCTTGACTCTCTATAGACTCTGTACACAACCGCTGAAGTAGCGTCCGTTTGCAACATTTTTTTTGATAGGCGCATTACTGGCTCCACGCACGCCCTATGTCGACTACAACGCACGTAGACTGGTTCCCAGACCAAATGAATTTCCGACCAAATGATGCTGACGTTAGATATGTCGCAACCTGGCCGATTACGTAATAGTTTACCAGCCGCGCCGATGAGTTTTGATTGAAGTTCAAGGACAAAATACGACTATCTAACAACTTGTCATGAAGTCTATGTAACTGCACTTGTGATCCTCGACTCTCCATAATCTGCGCATCAGGTATAAACGCTTGCAACGTGCGTGTACACAAATTGAAGGTGGGTGCGTAGAAATAGGACCGCGTACGAGTGTCTTCACTTCTTTTGCACATGCATCAGACTCACTGCCTAATATTTGCATTTTTTTGGGCATGCGTGGGGTAGCTAGTCCTTTGTCATGAAATGAAGCCCCACTTTAATGTCGTGCAAATGCCTTTATTTATGCCTTGTACTGCCCTGAAGAACGCCACCTATTGTCCCATATACTCTTTGAAGGGTGCCCCCATAGAAAGATGGTGTCCAGCCCCTGCACATATTGCGCCACCCATATTTGACTGCATAATAACAGCAACGGTTTATTCCACAGCAGTAAATATTCCAAATTGAGCTGGCATAATGTTACCTTAAAATCATCCGTTTTAATTTTGCATCCAGAACGCATCACATCGTGAGCTTGAGTAGTGTTACATGGTCATGATGGATTCCCTGGAAAAGGCCCGACGAAAGAGAATGGTTGACTGTGCAGTGCAGTTTCAAAATGTCAATGCAGAAGATCTAATGCCATATCTTAAGTGTCTTCCTCGACCACAAAAGGTAAGGCCATATCTAAAAACAGACATTGTCATCTGGCTATATACATGTACTCTCCTGTGTAGTGGGTGATAGGCAACGAAGCCTCGTTTATAAAAACCTTGGGAAAGATTTCCATATACGAAGTTCACTCAACACTCTGTGTACAAACCCTATGAGAGTGGACTGAAAAATTCTAAGTGTTTTCTAAGAAAAAGCTTGTATTTTCTCACTGCTCAAATCGACTTTGATGACATGAAATTACTATCTGGGGGCTTGTTAGTCAATACAGAGGAAAATTAGTGAACTTCGCATATGGTAATCTTGCCAAACCTTGTTTATATAAAGGTGACTTAAAAAAAGCGTGCTACATTAACAGCTTAGAGAATTTTGATGTTCCAGTTAGAAGTTGTCATAACATTCCCTCACTTCAAAATTTCTCTTTCAAATTGCAGGAGAAAATTCTCTGTAAGCAAAGGCTTGATGGAGCTCTAGCCGCAGCTCAGATGCTGGGCATGGCGTTGGTCAAAGTTGACAATTGGTTTGAGCAGCTTATCCCTGCACTACGGGAGTTGAATCAGAATGAGCTAGCGGACCTTTTAGACGATCCCCCAGAGGATAAGCGTCTGGAAAACCATCGGGATGTGGGCCTGCAGAGCCATCAGGAAAAGAAAGGTTTGTGGACAATCCAAAAGTTGAGCCCAAAAGTTTGACCCCAGATTTGTAAGGTCATATTTGCTCTGTAGTTGCACGGGGGAAACCAGCCTTAAAATTTGTTCACAATTCCATTATGCGTCTTTCACAAGTCTCCCACAAGTTTAATATTGGGGATGAACAACCACAGAGGATGCCTTTGTTACAGGTTATGTGAAAGGGTTGTGACTTGACCTGGGATTTGGTGCGAAGTATGACGACGAATTTTATTCTAAGTGAGCACGGACCCTTTTTGTCTGGACTTCAATAGCATCAAGTCATTATGCTATCGCATTTAAACGTTCGTTCTAGAGGCCTCCGCAAACTTTCTCTTTGTAACCGTAAAGGGGGTATGTACACACAGGGCACATGGTTGGCTGGCCCCAAAATGTAGATAGCTCCATAAATGGAGAATTTAAAAAGCAGAATTTCAGACAATCCCTTATTTTTTTTACAGGAAAGTTTTCCCCAAACCAGGAAAAGAATCTGCACCAGAGCGAAGCAGGTCAGTCAACGCTTCCACGGCCATCGACATCCTCGGGTCAGAGTTTAAAGGTCACACTCCAGACACCATACAGTCAATTGTCCGCCTTGATCCTGCATGTGCTGAGACGCTTGGATGTGCTCAGTCCTGCCACTGGCAATGACTGGACTGGTCTTGCTGGACAGTTAGGTAGGGGCTAGCCTTGACTGTTTCCCGACCCCCCCCCCCCAAAAAAAACATATGGGAACCGGTAGCTAGCTCCCATTTAAAGCCATTGATTGAATCACCTCTGCGCGCGCAGCATGATTGTCTATTTTTGTATCACTATTCAGCTTTGTGCATGGATGATACTTCAACACATGGTTATCAAAAACTGACTCTTGTCTTATCAGTACGCAAAATCGCCAGTGTCTCTATCAGGCAAAAAAAAAAGTCTCCGGTTTCTGGTATGGAGCTTGCCCAAAAAGTGGTTTGACGACACAGCATGTTTTTTTTTACCGTTTTTTTTTCCCTTCAAATATCGGTTGATGATTGCAAATGGTGCCCGACTAAACTTAGTGCATATGCCCATTTCAATTGTTCGGTTTTGTTTTCCATCACCTCATATTAAATTGATCTCTTCTCTTTTTATCAATTAAAGGTTTCAGCATAGACTCTGTCAATCGTTTTCGATCTCAGCAGGGGAGTCCCACTGAAGCACTGTTGCTTGAGTGGAGTAACGAGGGTGCTGCCACACTCGAGAAGCTGATAAACGCTCTTCACGATATGCACAGAGAAGACATTTGCCAGCAGTTGGAAGAATTGTTGGGTCTCCGTTTGGAATTGAGGAATAACCAGGTAATTTTTTGTAAATGTCTGGAAGCCGTGCGTCAGTGAGATGCAGATTCAGTATTGTTTTTTTTTCTGTAACCAATGCAATATCATTAGTCTGATAAGTCTTGTCCAAGGGGTTGCAAGCCCGAAAATTCACAAGCTTACTCAGGTGGGACTTGAACCCATGACCTCCTGCATGTCATTGCAGGTGGCTGGCACTCGACCGCTGCGCTTGAACCAGCCTCGTTTATTGAATTAAACCCGATTGCCAATAGACGCTCGAGGCGTGTATTAAGACAAATGAACCTGGTATGCCGCCAATTTGCACGGCCCACCGGCTTATGCATGATTTAAGTCTATCTGGTCCCCATGCAGAGTGTTCCAATAGATGTACAAGTGTTAAAAGCAAACAAATCGGAACGCAGGGAGTTGAATTGACAAGTCAAAAGAGCTTTCATTTTCTTTTTTAGTGAATGTCGATTTTCGATTTTCAATAATTTAACTTGACCCGCCCACCCACATTTTTGAAGAAAAAATAAGTGAAATTTAAAAACATCGCAAATTTTGAATTGCCCCTTAGCTAGGATCGATCTTAGCTAGAGTTGCAATGTAAGACAAGTTTGTGAAATCAGCCCTGGGTGATCAAAATTGTGAGAAAAGATTTCTACCACAAACTGTTCTCTTTATTATACCATATATTTCTTTTACAGGATGGCAATACCGCAGAGCCAAGACCCACAGTATCTGTCAGCTCTCGGCCCCTGACAGAGCAAGATCAACAATCCGAGCTGGCAGCAAGGCCGCAGGTAACCGACACTGCACCTAACCAGCCAGCAGTTGACACGGAGGTTGAGGAAGAGGCAAAACTTGTCGCACCAGCACCAAGACCACAGCCAGAAGCTGTGCCATCACACGCAGAAGAAAGCGGCGAAGACGTGGCTACAGAGAGTGAAAATGCAGCTAAAAAGGAATCTGACACAAGCCCAAAACCACAGAACAGTCAGAGCACTGAGACAAGCAAGGCAGATGCATCGATTGTCAAGCATCCAGAGGCTGAGAAAGTGGAAGTGCCGAGTGCACACATCAGTTGCAAGGATAGCCAGCCGCCGGTCAATAACCTGAACAGAAAGCACGTGGAAAGCGATCACGCCAACTGCCAGGTGAAAACACAGCTGTCTGATGACCCAGAAACCTGCAGTGATAATAATCCAGGGGATGGATACAGCACTGGTTATATACATGTAGAAAGCAACGTCTGCGACTGCTATCATTCGTTGAAAACTGATGATGAATTGGATAGAGATGTATCTTTGCAGATGTCAGAGGAAAGTGTTCCAACGATTGTACCAGTTGCCTCACTTGATGCTGGTACATCTGGAGCCTCTGCTGGTGATGATCCCACCTCATCATCATCTCAAGAATCGTCATCAGCCACAACCGCCCTCTCTGCAAGTGCCACATCAGTTGCACCAGCTACTGTGGGCCAGGCTGTTAAAAAGGACTCGTGTGATGGTTTTGCGCCGACAGTTAAGATACTGACATCTTCCCAAGGCGCTCCTGTTCGGCAGGCTTCTGGGGACTCTAAGTACCATCTTGAACAGTTCCAAGTGCCTTCAGTAGATGGAGCTTTCCCTGAAGCTGCCTGGATGAGAGCAACAGCTTTCAAAAGTACATCTAACCCAGAAGCATCCAGCAGCATACGCCAAGTCCGTAAGCCTGTCAAACAGCAGCAGCTGTGTGATGCCAAGCCTGTAGCTGACCAAGTTGGCCCTAAACCTTCGCAGCCCGACAAAGACTCCCAAGACCCTGCCCCAAAACCCAGCCACCTGAACCAGCAGAAGATCGGGGAGTCACAAAAGAAGCAGGCATCATCCGCAGTAGACAGCCAACACCAACATCACGCCCAGACCAAATCACCTCCAACTCCTTTGGCACCCCATGAGGAGGACGGCTCTGGAGGCAATCCTGAGCTGTCAGGCAGCGAGAAGCAGGAAGCATCCACTGAAACCCAATGTGACCCTCCACCTATTCCTCAATTGGTAGAGAGCACCCAGCTCCTGCCCAGTACCACTAACACCCCATCTGCTCTTCAGGCATCCCCTCAAAGAACCCAGGAGGTGGATTCTACCGGCTGTCTTGAGGAGTCCGGCGCCAAGAGCCCAGAAGCATCGGTACCACTCCGACAGGAGGCATCTCTTCCTGATCAAGACAGCATCCAGCCTCCCCATGCTCTAGCTGATAACACCGAAGATCAAGGAGGTGATTCCCAGGAGCCAGGTGCAGAGGATGAGAATACTGATGCGACCACAGAGTCACAGGGAAGAGGAGCTCTTGTAGGCCTGGCCCTTGCTGTTCCTGTCGTCTTGTCGTTGGCAGCCGCACTTACAGGTGGGGACATATTATCCAATGTGTTGTGATTTTGCAGTTTCCTATGATTTGGGCACAATTCCGTGTCTCTAATTCTTATACCAGTCAATAAGCCATTTGCGAGTTAAAGTGGAATAAAATCTGGAACGCTGACTTAATCCAATGCTTTGCACGTTTAAACTTTGCATTCTCCCGACCAAAGAGACTGTTACTATATCACATGATTTGGGGCAAGCCTTACGCTAGCAACGCCCAGCTCCGGCATGATCTGGTGTCTTTGTGCCATTCTAACTCATTGTGGACAATGTATTGGTGCTGAGCGTCTCTTACGTAACTATGCAAGAGCTCACCCCCGAATCATGTGATTAGCAACAGTGTCTTTGTTCTGGACTCTGGAGAATTCAAAGTTAAAATGTGCCAAGCATTCTGAGCAAGTCAGTGTACCAGATGTTTTCAAATTTAAAATCCCAAAGGGTATAGGTCACTCGCAAATGGCTTATTTGTTGGTTTGAATATTTCATGGGTGAGCAAAGAATTTTGGCTTGTGCATATACACATCCCACAACCGAGGATACTGTTATTACAGCACAGAAAGTTTGTTAGCTAAGAGCCGATACTGTAAGCGCAGAAAGGTTATCATCAATGTATAATTTCATCTGGTTAACAGAGCTGTGGAACTGGGCCCTGGGTGTTTTCGAGTAATGGTCATCGGCTCTGTTCACAAGCACCCCCTCACCGGCAAAGGAAGTACAGTTTGGGGTGACCGACCGACGCCATCTTGCCTGACTGCAATTCGTTTGTCGCGAAGCGCGGCCACCGCGTGTAAATAGTACAAATCCTCTGGTGTACGTGCGTCACACAGAAGGAACGGTGCGCGTCAACCAGCGAAATGTCCCACCTATGGGACGTCGTTGTTAGGTGAAAGGGCGCCCTCTTTTGGTAGCGCACGGAGCTCATAGGGCCAGTTTCTTGGAAATATTTTGCTTAACAAACAAGTGACAATCCAAAATGTCACCGATTTCCAGTTGGTTTTTGTACAGGGTGACCCCCAAAAAATGCAACCCTAAAAAAAATTGCCTTAAAAAAAAGGTTCAATGGATTTTTTGTTTGGGTATCGGATTAAAGCTGAGAGCTTTTTCTTTTAAATACTGAACTTCATGAAATAACACTTTGGGTTGTTGAGAAAATGCCAATTATGTAAAAGTAGTCATTTTGCATCCTGTACACAAAAGAAATTACCACAGTAAGGGATTTTCACTGTACCTATTTGTGCAAAACTAATCCTTACAAACAACACAGCACACAATATGACAAGAGTACGAATACATTTGATTGAAATACATTTTATTTTCTCCCTGAACAGGTATCTCATCCTTTTTAGTCTTATTTTAAACCTTTTCAGCATCATTAATTTTTCAAAATATTAAAGAGATTGCAAAAAATGAAGGATAATTGCACAGTAGGCTTACAGTAAAATAAATCACTGTTTGAAGTATTTGTGTACAGGATGAAAAATGACTATTGTTACATAATTGGCATTTTTCTCAGCAACAGAAAGTGCCATTTTCATGATTTTCATGATTTTTTTCAGTATTTGAAAGAAAACACTCTATTCTCAGCTTAATCTGATACCCAAAACATAAAAATCCACAGATCCTTTTTTTTTTAAAGGCAAATGTTTTAGGGTTGCATTGTTTCGGGTCGCCCTGTATAGGAAACAAATCTGCTAAGCAAAACGTCTTGCATAACAGCACCATAAATTTCAGCTGATTCTATAATTATTATCATGTCATTTGTTTCTTATAAGCAGGAAATGAACAAAGTAACTGATAACCATGAGCCTAAATTAATGGCTCTGTCTATACTGTGCTTATGATCAAGCAACCTGAGCTTACAGTAACGCCTAGCACGTAAATTTTCCACTTTAGTTACGAGATTTACACAAGTGAACAAGCCAAAAATAAGATCCTGCCATGCGCAAACAAGAGGGTTACCACTTTTGAAAGCTTCTTGGATGGGACACACCCAGGCCCGTCCCCAGCCCTGAGCACTGATCTGGGGGACCATAATACAAGCTAGGGGCCCACTGCCATAAAAATACAAAAATACATGTATGACTTTTGCCGTTGGGGTGGGCAATTGCTCGCCAAGGGGGGCCTGGCCCCACCAGGCCCCCCCCCCCCCACCTGCATGGCAACGGGCCTGAACACACTGTGTGCATGTACTGGTTTGCGCATATAGTGGTCAGTACGCATGACAATTTTTTTGCTGAGAGTGAACAAACCCATGAAGTCTTTGCGTGAGCGTTAGGTGAATACGGCGATATGTTCAAAACAGTGGTCTCCCCAAACTCTCCCTTTCTTACCATTGATGGGTGCTTGTGCACGGAGCGGATATGTTTTGATCACTCATGAAATATGCTTACTTTAATAAGCACTAAATTTACTGCTAAAGATATTTTCACTGACAGTAGACAGAAACATGAAATTTCATGGTGTTTCTTAAATTCTTAGCGTGAAATAATATGCAGAGCAACTTTTCGTTGTGAGAGCAAAAGTCAGCTGGTAACCAGTCGCCAGCAGTATACATGACATGAAATTGTGGTTGGTAACCGGTTCTTGTTAAGCAAAACCTGTTCCGTGCTTAGCCAAATTATCTTTACCTGGAGTCTGGACTCATCCAAGCTCATTGGAGATGTAGAATTTTGTAGTATATGACGATGTGACACTGTTGGATATCTGATCCCACTTCTGTCACCAAGGTGGCCACCATCAATCTGTGCTTGCCCTTACGGAACATATCAAGGAATTAGAATCGTTGGTACTGATCCGTAGGGCTGTACCAATTGTACCAATTGTGGGCAATTCCACGCAAAACTGGACATGTCATCAGTCCGTTACGAATGTCAATGTTATTTGTTATACGTCATCGAAAGAAGCTTTCGAAAAATGAAAATGGAAATAGAGGTACTTTGACCTTTTATTTTCATTTTCGGTTTCGTTTGTTGAAGAAATAAATAAAACCCTTCTTTTATGTTACAAATAAAACATATAATGAAGTCCATAACTGAATGACAAAAGTTCCAGTTTTGCATTGAATTGCCCATATCTGAACATTTGATCATTATTATCTGAACAGCATTTTTGCATTCAACTATTCGGAAAGTGTGTGCAGTTTTTAGGAGATAAATGAAAAATGTTTTTGTTGTGTGGGTTTTATTGCTTGTCAAACGCCACACTTTTGTTGGATGGCATTATCGTGCATGACTATTGGCGTTATTGCTCAAATATCAGTCACCGCTACCTGTACATATTATTTTAATAAGCTCTTGTCAATTTTTGACCAACCCAAGTACATGTGAATCCTGATTGGTGGTTGGTTGAGGCGTACTGTACATGTTCAACTTGATAAATGGGGGGGGGGGCAGAAGGGCTCTCTCAAGTGAAAAATTGCCTTATTTGAGAGTATTTTTTTATTACTGCCGGGGGGGGGGGGGGGGGGCCCTCTGCACCTCCTTGAATATGTCACTACTTTAAGAAATACTAGTCTTTACATTCTCTCAGTAGTTGTGACTGATATAGAGCTTTGTAAAAAAAAGAAGAAGATAAAAGCGATATATTAAAAAGAAAAAGCTTCAGCTTACATAAGTAGAATATTGCCTGCAGTTTTGCTGGTCTAAATGCAATTTTTTCAAATTTTATCATGTTTTAGGTTTACTTAATAAATTATTTTCATTTCATTTTGTATCTCCGTTTTCTTAAGTGCTGGGTAATTAGGTTCTACCCTAAAACTGAATGTACATTTTATTTTCTATTTGTTCCACTTAGTTTGAAATAGTTGTTTGTAAAATATTCTTTGGTTATTATGAATGACTAAGAGTGAGAATTGTTTTAGTGATGCCTAGTTCTGAAAGTACAGGGCGAGTAAAAAAAAAAGCGGAACCCAAAAATAAAGAAATATATTTCATTATAGAGAAAAACTATGCAGCACCAGAATTAAATATGACTTGGAAGCCCATTTATTAAACTACTTTAAGTGAGAACATTATTCCAATTGCTCTTAGAAAAATGTTTATCACTATTTACACGAAGTAACCCTAAAATACGTTTCATCCAAAAAAGCAATTTATCGTTCTGACTGTTCTGAACAACAAAGAAAATGACACGGAATGCTTGTTTCGACAACTGTAGTGCACAATATCTTTGTTAACAACCCTGCCTTGGCGAACAATAGAATTTATAAACTCCACTTTTTTCAAAGACAGGCCTTCAAAAGGACTTTGTTGAATATTTTTCCCTTTTAAACTGAGGTTTTATGGCTGGTGATGTTTGAAGACATTCGTTACGAAAATTCACAAAATCACATTTTTGGACAAAACAGATTTGAGGGTTATTTTGTTTTAAGTGGTGATCGAATTTGAACAGATTGAGCAATTGAAATAGATTGTTCACCTTAAAGTAAGTTATTAATTTGGCTTTCAGCCATAATTAATTTTGGTGCAACATAGCTTACATTTCATATTTAAAAAACTATTTCCTTTGGTTTGGGTTCCACTTTTACTTGCCCTGTATGTCTTCATTTCGTAAAGTGGTTGTGGATTGTCATTTAGCTGGGACATGTAACTAAATAATTGAATGGCCAACTAATCTTTGCAGGCCCAGACTCAAAGAGTTTACCACCTTATACAGGGTGGTCAAATAAAAATTACCCTTTTCTTCAGCAGCTGTCTCAGAAATGGGATGAAATTTTTAAAGATATTCCTTAACTACAAGATCTTGATGGTATATGATAAAAACGACATTGAAAATAAAGCTCAAGTTAAAAAAATAACGGCCATTTACAGAAAAATGGTCTATGGCAGTCGTCCAGACTGACCATCTTTCTTTAAACCATTGCCATTTCTTAACATATGCTTTATTTCCAGCGCCATTTTACTACAAAGTAAGCCTTACTACAAAGATGCTGAAGTCTAGGAATATCTAAGTAATAGAATTGTGCAAAAGTGTGTATTTTTTCCCCATTAATTTGAGCCAGAATGTACTTGTTTCCGGCACCGCTAAAATTGTCTGTTCATTTGAAAAGTGATTGCTATAAAACAGTGCTTAAAGGGAATAATGCAACAAACCATAAAGAAACGAAACTACCAAATGATTATGAAATACCTTACTGGACTGTTTAATGATTGAAA